GTAGTGCGAGCTGTGTGGGAGGCGGCGGTCTGGGCTCCACCAAACACAGGAGCGGCGTTGGTGTTGGAGCGTAATGACCTAGTCTTGCTGTGCCCGGTAGTTGTGCTTGCCCCTTGTTTCATGTATTTTTTACTGCTGCGTCCTGCAATCTTTCCCGACTGATTCGGCGGGCGCACATTGTGACTGTGACTGATCGTGGCCGGTTCTTTTGCGGTTCCCTTGAGCAACAGAACTGGCGCACGACGGCCGCGGGCTGCCGATCATTGAGTACGAGTGCGAATCACCTTTGAAACGATCAACGGCGAGATGGCTCAGCAACGCACCCTGGCCGACGTTCAAAACGAAGCCAACACCATCATCGATGATGTAGGCCACTTGCCATCATGCCGTGCTTGAATACAGATCTATGCCAAACATTACCAAGCAGTCACATCGATGCGTGCTTAGGATGTGGCAGCAACCCGGCGCATGCGTCACCTCGTGGTTGAGGACCAACAAATGAACGAAGAGACACTTCGAAACCTCGATGAACAAGGGGGTGCGTCTTTATTTCACCCGTCTGCGCAGGCCTCCTGATGAGAACGCTTTTCTTCAGGTTCTCGTCTCAACTTACCCACAATCATTACTTTGCCTCACCTTTGAAAATGTCCGCGGGCGTCGTGGCTACAGAGCAACTCCGTCGTGTTGAGCGAGGACTGGACGGCATCAACGCCAACACGCGCCAGGCCGAGCGTGAGCTCACTAAGATGGAAAAGTGTTGTGGCTGCTGCCTCTGCCCCTGCACGCCGTGCGTTTCACTGTCCCAGACAGCTTGCATCATGCCTGCCTCCCTTACCCATGCTGAGCTTGATGCCTCGTGAGGTCCGGTTTTAATCATGTTTTTCTCCTTTTTTTTCATAGGCGGCACAACTTTGAGAAGCGCGAGGGCTACAACGATGTTTGGAAGGGTCATGGCGACGAGCATGAGAATGCTGAAGCCGTCATCGACGAGCAGCCCACTGCAGCATCGGCTCGCGGTTCGTTGATGCTCCAGGCTGGGACGTTGTCTTTTACCGACGTTGCCAATGACTCAAGCAACGGCCTTTGATGATCCTGCGTGTGCCCATCCGCACTTATAATACGACCTTGCTGCTCTGCTGACTTCATCAGGTGGACACGCGGCGGCCCGTGGTGGCCAGAAACAGATGGTCAAAGAGATCACCGGTGATGATCGCGAGAAGGAAATGAACGAAAACCTCAAGTACGTCCCCGTCTCATTGCATGTGCCTTGAGGCCCGCAGTTTCGCACCACTCTTGTCTTCCTAGCATTTTGTTCATCTTCGCACACTGCGCCTCGGTTTTTATCTTAGTGTGGTGAGCGACGTCCTAGGTAACCTCCGTGCACAGGCGCAGGCGATGGGTGACGAACTGGACGAGCAAAACGACACGTTGGCGCGCATTGATGGCAAGGTGGGTTGGTGTTCACTAAATTTGAGCAACTATCATCAACATCCTATGCTTGAACACATTCGCCTGGGTGCACTGCTAGCACGAGACCAACTGCGCGCTACCCGCACAGCCATCATGTCATTGACAGACGTGGCTTGGCATGCCAAGTCGAGCAGGCAGAGCCACCTCCGACACACACACACACACACACGCACACACACACACACACACAGATACAGTCGCAGACGCATGTCCATGACCCACTTACATTCAGTGGCCAAGATAACTCATGATGTTTTGGCGGTGGCTTTCGCGCTTTGGCTATCAACAGATGACTTCTGATATTGCCCGCGTGCAAGCCGCATCGGATCGCACGGCGGTGCTGACCAAGCGGGCGTAAATTCTGCTGGCTGCATGAGTGGTCGGTCAGTCGATTCAGGCCGCCTTCAAAAGAACTTTACTCTTCTAAAAAATTAAGTGTTTTCGTTGCGAGCCTGCAAACAATGCGGACATTGTGTTGTCGGGAAAGCAAAGCAAGGACAAGAAACACAGCAAAGGGTGAACTCAGTCCGCATGCCGTCGCCGAAATCAGGGCTCGCGTTATGATTGGATAGAAACACCAGATGTTCAAGGTTTGTTATCACAATGTGAATACAATGATTCATTTGTTACATCAACAACATCGGCCGCACTGCCCAAAGAGAAGATGAGGTGGCACCTTGTTTCCATTCGTGTCAACCGAGAAAATAAAAGGCTTCACAATCAAACATACAAAGCAGAAGTGGTCACACCTGACTCTCCCAACGGCAAACGTTCAGGCTTTCTCAATTATATGTACATCATTGGCGTTGGGTATGGTGCACGCAAGTTTCCACGACAAAAAGACAATGCCACCACAGCACGAAACCAACACCCACAGCCAGGACTGTGACAGCACAAAATAAGCCAGTCAACAAGCAGGCTGCGAGCCACGCACCGCGCGGGCCATGATGGGCGACGGCCAGGGCGGTCCATGGATCATGCCGTGGAGTCATCATTCCTCATAAGGGGCGCTGGGCCCTCGTCCCCAAAGTCATCCATGGGAGGTGGCCTGTAAGCCGCAAAACGTGAAGAAGCGGTTGGGTGGCGAACGGCCGGGTGCAAAACGTGCATGTGGGAAGATTCCTCATCGTGAGAATGATCATGGTCGTCCGCGCCGTGGGCTCCGTGTGCATGATCCGCCTTTTGGAAGTCTTTGCGTGTCAGCATGCCCAAAGCCTCGAACCGGTCATTGACCACGACCAGATGTCGCAAGCCCTGGGAACGAAAGGTTCTGCACGAGCAAGCAAGGATAGATGATACAGGGCATGGACGAAAATAAGCAATTGCTGTTGGTGCGATCAAACAACGTCTGTTCACGAGCACGCCACGAACCGAAAGGCTTCGGGGAAACGAGTGTGCTCTAGCGTAAACGCAGGGGTCTCATTCATGAATTCGGTCAAGTCCGCCTTGCCCAAATTGAGAACGGTGCAATCCAATCGTGAGAGCATTCCAAACGTTTTGTAGTCGTTCTCAAACCCAAATGAACAAACACAAAACCGAAACAACAACAAGACAAAGCAAGCGCAGTCATGACACACCGTGTCATGTTCACCCTTGAGGGCGTCATATAAAGTGTAGAGGTGACGCTTCAAAATAAGACCTATGTTTACACGAAACCAGATCCCAGAAGACAAACCAAGACAAAAAAAAAAAAAAAAAAAAAAAAAAAAAAAAACACAGCAAATGCAGGCGCGTTGTTGTGAGTCGACACCCAAGCCACATGCTCTGAAAAAGCAGTGACAGCGAGCAGGTGCGTCCTACTGACCAATTACTTTGTCGACTCCATCTGCTTTGTCGGTGACGGGAAATCCGTTGTGCGTCGAGGCAAGGGCTTCCTTGATTTGTTGGCGACCCGCCAAGGCAGGCAGCGAAAGGACGGGCGAAGCCATAACCTCGCGAACGGTGACATGATTGAGCTGTTCATTTGCGACGTCCTCGAGGAAAGGAATGTGTTTCAGATGAATAAGACTGTGGTAGAGGCTGTGGTTGAGCTGCGTGCCCACCACGTTGGCCGTGATCACCGCAATGGCCAGCGCTGGCAAGTACTGGAAATCACCCGTCACCTCAAGAATAATGACGGCAATGGTGGCCGTCATGCCACCACTGCCACACCAAAAGGCAGCTGCGCCAATCATGGCAAATGCGCCAGGGTCCACTATTGCCACGAGCAACAAGCGCAAAAAGGTGAAATACAGCTGCTCGGGGTCATCAAAGGCCACGGAGGATCGAAGCATTGTGCACAACGGACTGAGTTGAACATTGGCTGGCTCCTTGATGCCCGTGTTGACGGCAATGCCAATCATGCGACCAATGGCTCCACCTGAGTCAAAGAGGATTGAATACCCGTTTCAATCAGCACCGGAACGCGTTGGCTGGGCGAGCTAGTAATAAAGAAGGCTGGTCTACAAGAGGGAATGTGTGACTACTGGAGGAGGCAGCGGCTGAGCTGTATGACCACATACCCATGGTCAGCATGGGAATGACCAGGCCTGAAGGAAAGGTTGCACCAGCCGTCACAACGGCCAGCAAGAAGTATAAAATCAGAAAGCCAGCCAGTGCATCAGCTTCAAGGATATCGTAGGTGCCCGTTTGGAACAGCAAATTAACGGCGTGGTGGCCTGTATTAAAGCTAGGCGTGGCGCGCGGAAAAGCAAGCAGGCGCGCCGGAATGCGGGGTTTGGATCATGAGGAAGCCTCGGCAGCTAGATTGGGCATTCAGCCATTCCCTGCCCAGAGCTCAAAACAGCGCCCCGATGCAAACCTACAAGAGGCTGCCCAGCTGTGAATACTCGTCCTCGTCGCAATCAAACTGGCGCAGCTCTAAATTCTCCTTGACCTTGTCCTGTAGCTCTTTGACCACTTGATCCAAGTCTTGATCCTCGGGCCATTGACTGCGGTTGACATGGAGTACGCTAAATCGGGCAGCGTCAAACCGTGTGAAGCCATGCTTGGGTAGAAGGCCTTCAGCGTAATGGTGGACAATGACAGGTGAACTCAAGGTTCAAAGCTTGTTCAGGTGGTTTCTTACCGATAGAGGTCTTTTGCGGTGGAGCTAAGGCAGACCTTGGGGTCGTCGAGGACCAGATTACCAGAGTCAAACACATACGAGTCGGTTGTTTGGGCAGGAACGTGGTCCACAACCTGGCGCAGCTGTGGACCAAATGTGGTTAAGCCAGAGGAGGCGATAGTGCAACAAATAGGCGAGGCAGGCACGACGACTGTACCCTTTGTTTGGAGACGCCACGAGCAATGCACGGCATCCAACCTTGGTGCAGTGGCCAGCCGTTGGCGCAAAGACGACGATGAGAGAGGTGATAAGGACCAGGCATAGCGCCTCAATGATGCGGTTGCGGCCCGAGGCGCCCACAAACTAGCAAGTTGCAGGCAATGTTCAAGTGAGAACAGGGCTGTATCTACAAGCCGGGCCGAGCCACAGCGGCTGCTGATTGGCCAAGTGACCTCACTAAGCGATCGCACCTTCTTGCGGAAACGAAAAATGGTTGTGTTGAGAGCGTTAAAGAGCGAGCCGGCCGCACCGCAGACAACGCCTGTGATAATAAAGAGAAAAATGTCCTCGGCCAAATAGGGAGCCTGCCAAAGTAGTGATTCAGCGGCAGGGTGCACTGCGAGCGCGGTGCAAGGGGTTGCAAGGGGGGCGAGCACTGACGCTGCATTCCACTTCGATTTCATAGGGCGTGAAGGTGTCGGCCTCAAGGCGATGTCCGTCAGTCAGTACGGCCATGATGTAGTAGGCGATGATGCAAGTAAAGTAAGTGCGAAAAACAAGCTGTGCATCGAAGAAGCTGATGGCTTCCTCAATGACGAAGAAAACACCTGCACATGTACCCAACAGTCAGCGTCAGGAGGGGACAGATGAGATAGTCGAGGCCGCGTGGGCGGTTGCATAACACCCTTCAGGCCTGCGGGAGTGGGGCAGGGGGGCGCGGTCCGTACCACCGATGGGCGAGCGAAAGGCAACGGCAATGCCAGCGGCCGAGCCCGCCACAACAAGCTTGCGCATGTCCATGTCGTCGAAGAAGAGCTGAACGTTGCGACTGAAGCTTGGGAGGCCCGAAAAAAGCCAGGCCAGGCTCTCGACCAGACGCGGTCCGATCATGGCACCAAGATGAATGGTGGGGCCCTCGGGGCCAATGGCGAGGCCCGAGGAGACGGCGAAGACAAGGCCGATAGCCTTGGAGAGCATGGTGCTCGGAGAGAGCAGGTCACTGGGCTTGGCTCCGTTTAGGTAGCTAATAATCTCAGGCATGCCCGAAGAAATGGCAGCAGGAGCCCAGAGGGCGAAGAGGACGGCCACCATGACGAGACCTAGGGAGCTGAAAAAGTTGATGACCCACGCCACGAAGAAATGGCCTGTGATGGGAGTTTATAGTTGTGTCACAGGCAGCATGAGTGCCGCCAACGCAGATGGGATCGAGGAGGAGGTGCACGGGCGAGGTTGGCGACCAACCATCTGCCATGTTATCGGCTAGGTTTTGCATTCGGGCAGTGGAAATGACCTCGATGGCGGCGTTGAGGCCGCGATACAAACAAGCCAAGACGATAGCTGGAGTCGGGCGCACATTGATCCAGGTCAGGTCAGGCGGCAGCAGCGATTGGTTGCGGTGTCGATCCAAAAGAAAAGAAAAAGGATAAACGCACCAATTAGGGCCAAGATGATCCATTGCGTGATGGCGTAGGCACCCGTTTGGCGTGTGTAAGTGTTGCTGAGCTCAGGGCGGCGTGAGTTGTTGATGGCCTGGTAGTCAGCGCCTTCCGTCTATTCGAGACGAGCCCGTGCATGGGACCAGCGTATTGAGCAGGAGATGTCAAGTAAAATTTTCCTCCGATTCACCAGCCGTCGATGCAGTTTGGCCCGCCATCTCTCAAAGAGGGCTCGCCAACTGCCGCTGCCGCTGGCCCGAGGCGGAGCGAGACGCGCCCTCTGCGAACAACAACAACAACAACAACACCAACAACACCAACAAGAAGAAGCAAGCCAGCGCAAAAGAGCCTTACCACACCACTCTTCTTGATATCCCCAAAGGGAAAGCCAGGCGGCAGCACGCCGGCCATGATACCCATCGTGTCACGTTCTCTGCCAAACTGGGGCGCTCGTGAATCCTATGTCAGTGTGAGAGCAGAGAGCGTGCCAGAGAGCCAGAGAGACAGAGCGCAACCTGTGCCCTCTTGGAACACCTCTGCCACCGAGAGAGAGAGAGAGAATGAATGAATTGGTGAGAGAGAGAGAAAGGGGGCGGAAGACAAAACTCGATCAACAATAACCTATAAAATTGCTACAACAAGTTGATTTATGAAGGTGTTATGATATACAAAAGATGTAGAATATAATTCAAAAAGTATGCTAGTACGGGTAGGCTCACAGAGGGAGAGTGATACGCCATCTCATGGTGTGGCCGTGGTGCTCGGGTCCAACTCATGACGCCTTTTGGTTATGCTTTCCGGAGGAGGAATGCTCCACGGCCTCCACGTCTCCATCACTGCTTGTTTCTGCTTTTTCTTTTTAACAATCTCACACCAAGCCGAACCAATGCAGTGCCTTGCATTCAGACAAAGCCCAGTTTGGGTGCACTGTGCAGACCGGCCCCCTCCCAGACTCGCTGCCCCTCTGCCCAGGAGACTGCCCAAAGGGACTCACCACAACAGTTGTTTTGTTCAGTTTCTGACATTCAGTATTGATAATTTGTCATCGTTTTTGTTTCAAGCTTTTCCATTTTTTTTTTTCCGAATCATCGTGATCGAGGTGAGGAGAGCTCGCTGCCCGTCTGCCCGTCTGCCCGTCTGCCCCCTATTGGGTCTTGTGTCGCCTTCCGTTTCGGCGGCTGGCCTGTTTTGGCTCGGCGTGGTCAGGCGTGGGTTATGAGCGCGTGCATCTCGTTGTTGAACTCACTCGTGCGTGGTTCATTAAGATTTTGTCAATCGGCACGATGGTGGACGCCCATACCCGCAAGACTTTGGCGGCCATCCCGCTTCTGCGTGTGAATGCTGGCCCGCGCAGCGGCGATCTCTGGCGGGTAAGACTGACGGCGACCACGCGCTTTGTCTGAATCATGTTGCGCAAGTTATTTTGTGGACACACGAAACACCTCGTCTTGAACTGCCTGGTCCATCGTTCTTTGCATGCTTGGACCAATGGCTCTCTCTGACCGCGATTGTCTCATCAACGACAGGCGCGTCACAAGGAGGAGCTCATGTCTTTAATCACCGTATGTAATTTCTTCTCTGACACTAGCGCTCAGCCATGTCTTGCCTTGAGCTCTGCATGCAAAGAGCTGCTGTACATATCCTTGCTATATCCTGGTTGTATGTACGCTTGTTTTTCACGTACTGCTACGCTTGTTTTCCCCGCAGTACGTGAAAAACAACAAGGAGAATGACAACGACTGGTTTCGCCTCGAATCCAACCCTGAAGGCACGCGGTGCGTTACATTTTTCTTGTTGATCGTCTGCAATCAAATCCGCTGCGACTTGAGCGGCACTCGGCCGGCACTCGGTGACAAGCGTTGAACAAGCTTTCGAGCAACGCGGGCGGCGAAAAGCGGGGGTGGAAGCGAGGATATTGACTTGCACGTTCCCATTCTCATGGAGAAACTAATCGCACATCCTCATGGTGGCCCTTCCAGGTGGTTTGGCAAGTGCTGGATTGTTGTCGACATGCTGAAATACGAGTTTGATCTGGAGTTTGACGTGCGTGCAGCGGCTTGCGCTCAACTTGAGCTTGTTGGGCGTTTGCACATCGCTTACGTCTACGCGTTGTCTCGATGGGTTCCCTTTTTTTTTCCTTTGTTTGTTTAGATTCCGGTCGCGTACCCGTCCACTGCTCCTGAAATTGCCATTCCGGAACTGGACGGCAAGACGGCCAAAATGTATCGGTGCGTCTCGGCGCACGACACTGACTCGTTTGGCCTTCTCGACCAGAGTGAAGGGTGTCTCGATGATACAAGCGATGGCTCCTCTGACCCGACCACATCAACACTCACCTGGCTTGTTGGTATTTGATTTGAGTCCAGGGGCGGTAAAATTTGCTTGACAGACCATTTCAAGCCCTTGTGGGCGCGGAATGTTCCCCATTTTGGCATTGCCCACGCCATGGCACTGGGTCTTGGGCCCTGGCTGGCCGTAGAGATCCCTGATCTCGTCTCCAAGGGTATCGTCAAGCACAAGGAGACCTCTTCCTGATTCAATTCCGACCATTCCAATCTTTCATAGGATCACTCTCTTGCATGATGCCAGCACCGTCAGCCGGTCAAGATACACTCGAACAACGATGAAAATTCAATTTCCTCTCCTCTCAAATGTGTCATTCGCTAGCCTTGTCCATCTCTACACCATCAGGCGCTTTCCATGCCCCATATCACACATCTCCCCACACCCTCTTATTTTTTTCTTTTCCTTTTCCCTTTTCCCTTTTTCCTCGTTCTTTTTTTCATTTCCTTTGCCCTCCAAACTCAACTTTCCTTTGTTCATTTTTTACCTCTTTGTTCCGAGTGAAAAGAGAGAGAAAAGCAGTCACAATGGCGGCGAGTGCAGGCTCGGTGTTTGCCAACGTTAAAAAGGGCATCAAGGCCAAGGCTTATGATGCTGAGGGCCAGGAGGTTGCGGTAAGAAGAAGTCATGATGCTTTTTTGACACGAGGTGCTCATTGCTGATGCAGTAGCTCACGACACCCGGCTCGTCGTGCTCGACAGTTTGATGTGCGCGATGACGAGGAGCAATCCGTCAAGCTCAGCGAGACGGTGGACCTCCTGCTGGCTGCTGGCTACTTTCGCGCCCGGATCAAGGGTCTCTCGGCCTTTGACAAGGTTGTGGGTGGCATGACGTGGTGCATCACTGCCAGTAACGTTGACGTGGATGTTGACCTCCTTTTTCAGGAAAACTCGACCATTGGTCAGAAAATGTGCGTGCCAATCGGATCTCTGTATCGCCATTCGCTACTGGCGCTGTCCCCCGCGATCAGCTGCGGGAAGAGCAATATCTTTCCTCTGTACGCTTTTGTCATTGCTATCTGTGGCATTGCCCTCCGCCCCACCTCTCTTTCTCAGTGCACTCACCGAAAAGATCGTCGCGGCCCTTCCCATCATGAAGTGTCCCCATCGACTTGAGCCACATCAAATCCAAGGCACGCTTCTCGTGTGGCACTGTATCAAAACGTGAAGGAGGATTGTCTCCTGACTCTTGAAAGTTTTACTCGAGGCGCACAGAGCGCACGTCGGGTCTAACCGAGCGCTTGTTGCACAACATTTCAGGTTTGGATTTTATCCACATTTACCCCGTCATTCAGTGGCTCGTGAAAAAAGCCATCGAAACTCGCGAGGAACGTGCCCTGCAGATTCGCAGGCGCGCTCTCTTCGTCTTTGGCCAACATGAAGAGTCACCTGAAGTACGGCATTGGACGGTTCATCGCGCACGGTCCTTCGCATGCCAAGGCCCTTTGTGTCATTAAGAGAGGCAGACATTGGCGCTTCAGGGGAAAAGAGTTGCCGTTTTGCTCACTCATGCCCGCACCAATGTGCAGGAGGCCAAGCGACAGGAGCGCTTGCCCGCCACTCAGCGCTCATCACACGATACAAAGGAGCACTATGCACCCAAGCGGCGTTACCGTGCCCCTGCTTTGGGCAGCGCACCTGATGAAGCCACTGCCGTTGAAACCACTTTGCTGGAATACGGCCAGTGCGTTACTGTCGCTTGTCGTTTGTTTTCCAGTTGCCTGTCTGCTTGTGTCCATGGCAAATTGCTTCATTCAGTCTTGGGCTATGCGTCAAACTCGCGTTCTTGAGTTGCTGATCTGCTTCATCGTGTCACAGGCGATACGGCATTCGTCGCAAGCAGGCCAAGGCCAAGTCTGCCAAGGAAGCTGCGGTCGCCGCATCTCTTGGTGCTGATGACACTGACGATGCGGCTGCGGAAGAGGAGGCGCGCCGTTTGGACCAACTCATGCAAACCATGGGCGAAGCCGGCGAGGTACGTATGCTCTTCGGCTCGTCTGCATTCACGGTCTGAGCATAGGCTTTTTTTTTTTTTTTTTTTTTTTTTCTTTGTTGATTGACGAGCGTAACACCATGAATGTAGGACAAAGTTTCCAAAGCCCGCTTGGGCTCAATCATCGAGCAGTCGACCAACGTTATTTCCAAATTGGTGCGTTGCTACTGTTTGAGTCTTAGATGGGTCGAAGGGGGGTGATCAGCCTGCCTTTTGTCCCAAGTCCTCTCACGACCCTTTCTGTTGCAGTCGGATGAGTACCGTGCGCATGCCGCAGAAGTTGCCAAGGCAGATGAGGGTCGTCAGGGCGGGGTGGCCGCACATAAGGTGAGTTGTGCTTCAGCCTTGCTCGCAACACATTTGGGTATTTGGGTCGCAGTGGAATTTGCTCTTGGCCTTGAGTTGGCCCGTGGCCCACCAAGCTTCTCGGATGCGTGTCTTCATTGTCCTGACCATTGCTTTCTATTTTCTCTTGTTTCTCATCTTCTCCGATGCAGCGTGCCGTCCAATCGCTGAACAAGCGCATTGATGCTGCGCAATCCGATCTTGATGCGCTTCAAGCGCAGCGCGATGAGACCCATCGTCGCTATGAGTCAGCCAAAGCTCGCCTGGCGGAGGTTCGTGCCGATGTCTGGCACACACCTGTTATGTACCACAGCATCTTGTCCAGGCTCACCTTTTCCTGCCGTACTGGACTCTTGCTGCTTTATTCTTCAGGCTCAGACCGAGCATGCTCAGCTGGAGGAGGAGGCCCGTCAATTGGACGGCCTTGAAGGCGACGAAAGTAACAAGGTGAGCCTTGTATTATACACACGCCAATGCCATCACAACATCTACAGCTGCTGGCGCTGGTCCTTGCTTTCATGGATAAATGGGTGTGCAATGACTGTCTTGCCACACTTGCCACTTGTCATGCGTGCAGCCCATTATCGAGAAACTGCGCACGCTTTTGGCCACGATGGACGACCTCAAGGCGCGCCAAGGTGCCTTCAAGGTTTGTCGAGGCCCCTCTGCTTACTTGCCCCCTCTCTCAATTTTTTGCGCCGTGGGCTTACGGCCGATGTGTTTTACGTTCAGGCCACGTGTCAAGCAGAGATGGAGCGCCTGCAGGGCGAGATTGAGGGCTTGCGCGCCACAGGCGCCATTCAGGTCGATGATGAGCGCGCCCAGGTTTGTTTTATCATTGAAAATGCCAGCTCGAGTCTAGTGCCAGCTCAAGTCTAGTGCCAGCTCAAGTCGAGTGCACATTAAAGCACAAGAACACGCTGGTTTTGGTCCACTTTGTCCGTGGCTATTCTTATTCCAGTGTCTGCAAACGCAGGCGGTCCAGCAACAGCTCCAGGAGGAGCAGGCTCGTCTTGACAAGGCCAAGGTACGGGCATGGCCTGCTCTTTTTGGGGGAAGCGTATGGACAGAGTGCATGGTTTTTGAGCAGTCAAAGTGTTGGCTCGATTCAAATTGCCCTTTCCCCGGCTGCTTGTTGCTAATGCTACCGGTGCTAATTAGATCTCCGCTTCCAAGCGTAACCGACAAGTAGCATATTTGGAGCGTCAACTCGATCAGATCCCGAGCCGTTCCGAGCTCAAACAGTACCAGCGCCGCTTTGTGGAGCTCTACGAGCAAAGTAGGATCACGCCCCTTACGCCCATTGGGTGCCAACTCATGGTGGCAGGTCCTGTCCCTTGAGTTTCATGGCTCATCATCCGGTCTTTCTTCTGCAAACTTTGTCCTCATTCGCAGTCAACGCCAAGCATCGCGAAACGCAACATTATTTTGCGCTGTACAATACGCTGAGCGACACCAAATCCTACATGATGAATGAGAACTCGCTCCTACAGTCTATTCAAGAAACCTTTCCCAAAGCTGTGCTGTCTACGAGTACGTGTGCACACCCTGGACGCAGAGTTGAATGGATTGGAGACCCGTGTGGTGTGTCGTCATGCCTGACTCGTTGTCGCCACCCCGCACCAACCTCTTTTTTTTTTTTTTTTTTTTTTTTTTCATTTGTTTTAGATAACAAGCGCGCGTTCTTGGATCAGCTCGCCAAGATTGTCGATGGCATTGATAACAACAAAGAGCGATTGCGCGAAAAGGAAGGCAGTGCGCGCGAACGCCGTGATCAGCTCAGGTCAGTGTCCACCCATTCCGGTCGGGCTACCCCAAGGACAGGATGACTCACTTGGAATTGTTGAACTCTTGGTGCTTGTGTTATGCTTGATGGTAATTCAGTCAAGTGCATTTGGCCTTGATCGAGACGGAGCGGCGATATTTCAAGGCTGTGCGCGACTACGAGCAGGTTCGTTGAAGGTGGCGGCTGCCGGCTTTCTTGCAATCAGCCGTTTTTTTGTCGCTCACGCCCCACCGGCATTTGCTTCGCCTTAGGACATGAAACGCAACGCCAAGTTGGCAGCTCAGCTTGCTGCCAAAACTGGCAGCGCTTAGATGATCATGCTCACGGTTCGTGCCTCGGTTTTTTTCCTAGTTTTACTTTCGCCTTCAAGGGTCTTCAATCAAAAGTAGTTTCTTCCTCCTCTGCTGACAAGCAACGGCTGTTTCGGCCACCTGCGGTGCGCAGTATGCGGAATTGCATCACAATTTTGATGTTCAGAAGATGCTTCGATGGGCCGGCAGATGCGTTCCTACCCTTGCACTGGCAAAAATTTTGTTCAAGAGCACACAGACATACACAGACACACAAACAGACTACACACACACCACACACACACACACACACACAGCCATAGCACAGCCATAGACACAGCCATAGATACATACAGACACACAGACACACACAGACACACAGAACAAAAATTCAATTTGATGCTATTTTGGTTTTATCGCGCGTTCCAAAAGAGTGCTTGCATCTGCCAATGTGGGCGAGCAGCTGAGATGGTGCGCTGTCGGGTATCCGGGCCTGCTATGCGACATTTGCTATGGTGGCTTGTGCTCTTGCCATTGTATGGGCTCTCAGCCGTGTCAGGTCAAGGCGAGAGTGATGTGCTCTTCATCACTCCAGCCGAGTTTGCTCGTGCCGCTCTGCCACGTTGTCCTGGGCATCTTTGCGGTCGGCCAGCCCATGCTGAAGAAGAACTCGCTACTGGCCAAAATGTGGCGGCCTGTGGGGCCTGTCCCACCGGGTTTCGTAGCGATGGCTACTTTTGCCGCCCCTGCTCTGCCAAACCAGATGTTTACAGCGTCATGTTCCTCATCACCACGATCCTCATCTTCATTCTTCTGGATACGGCTGTCTCTCGCAAGCTGCTGGTTCTACCCGGCAAGCTTCAAGTACGTACCAACGTTCCTGCACCGATCTATCAGAGTTGCCAGATCCACAAGCCAGCAGCGTTGTGCCTGACGTTGGGTCGTTGCCCTTTCTGCAGCGTCGCCTGTGGCTCTTGCTGGCCGAGTACACATTGGCCGCTCTTTCCGCTGCCCTTGCCATCCAACCGCAAGGGTCCCTGCACCTTGACTTTTGTGGTATGACGCACATCCGTGATTGGTATCCATACTTGGCCAACCCTCGCGACAAGGGTGGCGAGGTAAGCTTTCTTGCATGCTCGTCGACGCCCCATGTCCTGTGTGGCTTTGACCTTTCCAAGCGCATCGCTCGTCTCGGTACACAAACCCTCTCACTTCACTACCTCGGGGGTCTCATGTTCAAATGGACCTAGATTGTACACTGTTCGTACGAAGCTGCATTCCCGCTCCGCACCTTTCTCCTGCTGTTTGTTGCCTTCCGATCAGCGCTGCTGCTGGGCCGCTTCTGTCTGCTCTCTTCTGTCACAGGTACGCCGACCACGCCTGCCTGTCGTCATCATTTTGGTATATGATGCTCAGCAACCTCTTCATGCCCATCTTTTGCCCGTATTGGGCTAGAGGAAATGCGTTTGGTATTTTGGCGCCATGGAACGGCCATATACATTCTGCAGCCCATCTACGCCGTCTTTGTCCTTGCGCTCGGTGGTCTCTGGTACTACGGATTCCCATATGCCCTACTCGTGGGTGGGTTACTCTTGATCACCTCTTACAACATTCACATGGAGCCCGGGGTATGCCATCGCCTGTGTCAGCTTGATCAGCATCATGGCGTGTTCTTGTTTCTCGACTTTACCCGCACCGTGCACAACATGAAGGGCAACTAACGCCTTCGCGTTTTTTCCATTGTGCCTGTGCTGCAGGTGCGATTTTATCAGCGGCGTGTTGATGCCGCTGATCGAGATGTGCGGGGGCCCGAAATAGTTGGTCGCGTCATTGTCTACATCTTTGCCTGTTTGGCGCTGGTGCGTTGTGGAATGTCCAAAACGCCCGATCATTGGCCCAAGAACCACACAGACTCTTTGGTCCCACCTGCCGCCCTAATTTGTGACTCACAGCCCGCTTTTAATTCCTCACTTCAGGAAGCACTGCGGCAGTTTTTCAATGCTGAAAGTCTATTTCATTTACTCTGGGTATTTCTCGGCCCAGCTCTCCCAGATGCCGTTTACCTACTATTTGAGAAGTACACCCAGCCAGCACGGTTCCCCACGGCCTCGTAATGGTTTCACATGCTGCAAAGCGTCACTTCACTGGTTTACCTCTGACCCGTGCATCATCTCGCTGGCCGTGCCAGCCCGGCGTGCATCTAAAAGCGTTTTCATTGTCGAGTTGCTTGTAATTGCTCATGTATTGGTCTGAATTAACATCAAAAGCATGTAAAACATCTTGAGAGTCGGATTCCGATGCCAACCATGGCTTCACATGGGCACTGCCCCATCAAGTTGCAGTTCAGTCATCTGGGACTGCTGCAAGAAGACAATCAATCGCTCCATCGGGTCCTCCGTGTCCACGTCCAGCTCTTGGCAATCTTCGCCCTGACGAGCTTCTTCCAGCAAAACGGGAACCCGAATCAAAGGTCCATCAGCCTCAGAAAGCAACGTAGCAAGTGCCTGGACTGAAGAGATCTGGCGAATGGTGAATCGCTCCGTGGCATTGACCACGTGGCGATAGAACGTGGGCTCGAGAAGCTGGGACATGCCAACAAAAGCGAGTAATTCCCGTCGTACGCCCAAGTCTGGTCCAGGTGCAGGCGTAGAGATGGCCTGCCAGACGCTAAGAACGGATTGCAATGCTACCTCCACGTGACGGTAGTCTCGGCATACCACAAAACACTCGCTGGCAAAGGGAGCGCTGGTCAAAGGCTTGACCAGACGGCAGGTGGCGAAGGTTGAGCAGAGCAAATGCAAAAGGCTCGCCGTGAGACGAGTAAAGGTCTCGGCCAGGCGTACGAGGAGTGTGCCTCCTGGACGCAGCAGATGCAGTCCTGCAGCAACTTGCGACAGGGCCTCGGTGCTCATATCAATCTCGGCCCGGCCGCGACCACTACCCGCAAAAGCACCCCAGTCAAATGCAGGACTGACGAGCACGATCCCGGCTTCGCCGGCGTGCTGCTGCCAGGCCTTGACATCACGCTGTGCAAACGCGGTCCGAGCTGCCTCTGGCAGGGACGACCAAGGGCAACGCCGGGGAAATGAGTCCTCAGAAAGGCCTTGAAGCATTACATCAGCATCTGGACTCAGGCTCACGACTCGTTGTTGGTCGGTCCGTGCCTCACTTGCCAAAATCAGCCGAGCACTAAGCCCAAGCCACGGCCGCACAAGGTGCGGATACGCATCCTTCAGAGCCAGTAGACAAAGCCAGGGCTCATCCAAGCACAGGGATAGAGGAAACTCTGACGTGCGCGTAAGTTTTTCGCGCAAGGCTGGCAGCAAGTCCTGTTGACTACGCCGCAGCTGGTTCAAGAGGCTGAGCCGGCAGAAGCGTGTATGGCGCACAGCCCGAAGCTGCTGCCCATAAACCAGGTGTGCAGGCAAACCTTCAGAACTGCCAGAACTTTCAGAGAACGACGTCGCGGTAGATGCTGAGGTCGCTGGCACCGGTGTACCACCAGTGATTTGGGCCAGTCCAGGACCGTGCAGAGGATGGTCCGTCTGCAGATACAAAGGGGCCTCTCTCGGGCGGTCCACTGGCCCAGATGCAGAAATTTGATGCACACCTAGACCGGTGCGCTCTTCTCGTGGGGCTGCCTGCACTGGTTGTACAATGCCTGTACCGTCGCGACCAAGCCCTTGGCCCGGCTTGTAGCCCATCTTTTGCATCATGCGCTCTGCAATGCTCAAAGGCCGCGAGGGTGGGTCTGCAGGCCTCTCGCTGCTTGGTCGGTCTTCAGCATCCAGCTGCAAGCCTTGCGCTTGGATTTTGACGCGCTTCTGGCTTGGAGTGCCGTCGTCTGCGTTTGTTGCATCGGGCTTTTCCTTGTGACGTTCGGCTTGCTGACGCTTGACCGTCGAGCGCAAATGGGCTTGTCGCTCCTTGAGTGTGGCGCCCTGAAGGCCTCCGTGATCTTCTGGTCGACGGGTCCCGGTCCCGGCTCGGCTGCTCTATGATGAGGGGAATGCCAGTCAGAAGCGCCAAGCCCAAGCATGGGTACCATTTTGTGGTCATTCCTAAGCTAGAGGAAAAAAGCCATCGGCCTGACCCCGTTGAGAAACGTACGGTACTGAGATTGCTGTGCCCATCAAGGTAAACGGCCGGGCTAAGCTGAAGTCGAGCGGGCACTTCTGTGACTCCAAATCTCTGAATGTACTCCTCAGCCACGGCACGTTGATAATTGATAAGCTCCTACCACCCCACATGAGCCGCCAAAGACACCAGATGAGCCGTTTGGCCCCTCTGTCAGATGGCATAGTTTCTCAGTGACTACTTCAAGGCCCCAGAAATCCTACATCACGATTGGCCGGGACGGTGCGGCGCGACTGATCGATAACGTGCTGAATATGATCCTCAGTAAAACGTGAGATCTCATCTGCAGCCTAAAGGTCACACGAGAGCATCAACCGCATGATGCCATCGCGTTTATGATTGACACATCATCGGGAGCAGGCCAAGATGGGTCGTTTCAAGGAGAAATCGGCGGTCATCATGGTTCTTGTCACATGATATGGCAAACACACCTGCGCGAGGTGTTGCGTAAAGGCAGGGGTGAAGCTCGCGCTAGGTAACAAGGCCAACCGTTGCCCTGCTGCGTCCACTATGGCAAAAAAAAAAAAGAAAAAAAAAAAAAAAAAGAAAAAAAGAAAAAGAAAAGAAAGCATATGAGAGCCAGGATAGCCGTATCGCCAAGCCTGGATGCCACAAACATCGGGTGGTCGTGGTGGGTTGAAAGCAACTGTTTACCTGGATGCGAGGGGTCAATATGCGCGAGGAGTCGATCAAGAATAGCATGATCACAGCCGCGAAAGCGTTGTGCAACGATGTACGTCTCGCTGTTGGCAGCCTTGCTTGTTGCTGGCTTGCAAATATCCATTGTCTCAAAGAGCCCACCCAGCAAGTAGACCAGCGCGGCGGAGCAACGCTCAAAAAACGTGAACATCTTGAGTACCAATGTTCCGCCTGCAACCAAACTCATCATGTCAATTGACAATCGACAGGAGTTCACGGTTGGGGACAGAGAGTATGCTACGATGAAACGAGAAGCTTGATGCACATACCGGGGGCCAGACAAGCCAGGGCAGCGACAGCTTCACAATAGTGAAGCTGGGCTGTCAGCATCTCCTGCTCGGCAGGGTTGGCTGACGTGTCAAAGGCCCCATCGCCCGTCACCAGCTCCACCTTGTGCAATGTTGAACAGGGTAACATGAATGGCGATGACGAGTACGCTTGGCAGCAAGGCAACTTACTCGCATTTCTTGCTGGAGAACACGATCGCGAAGGCCCTTGAGGTTGGGTGCATGCATCATGTTGCCCGTGTTGTCGTGACCAAAGTGCCAATGGCTCTCGGTCAGCAGGATCAGCTATGGTGTCGCGCAAGCGCCAAACCTTGAACACCAGCGCATTGCAAAAGACAAGCGAGAGTGGGAGTGAGGGCGTTCTTACCGTGTCTGAGTCCACCATGTCAATGGGATTGTTGTCCTCATAGTAAGGGTTAAGGGTAAGCCCGGTCCAGTTCCATTTGAGCTCACGATGATATAATTGGCGAAGGTAATGATTCAGCGCAGCCACAAACGCACCAGGCTGAATGGGGACATGGATTGATCAAGGCAAGATGAGTGACGGGTCGGGCCAGCTGTGCGGCGGCGCACTGAGGGAAAACACGGGGCTGGGTTGGCTATACAAACCCAAACGAACCGCTTCGCAGACATGCACCGTGGCAAAGGGCATCTCCTGATGCTGTTGGAGCAGCTTATAGCGGGCTAGAATCTCGTACATTTTACACCAGGCGATAGTGGGCAGCTCAACACGAAACCGGCGCGAGAGGGTGAAGGGGACGTTTTTGGTCGGGTTGTGAAGCTTGGCTGTGCGGTACCACAGCTGCAAAGGGCACGCGGGTCCAGTGAGGGTGAAGGCAAACCAAGAATCAGATGCCAAAAAGATAAGTCCAGGACGTGCCTCTTGATCCATGTCATCAAGGCTGCCTTTGACGCCATTGGCTCGGTCCTTGAGTGCTTGCATAGCTATCACAACGACCGCCGCTCGTAAACTGCAAGAAGGGTTTCTGGGCCAAGAAAAGCAAAGACAAATCTGGTTGGGCAAGATACCTGGATCGATGGGCTCCTCTGGCGCAACAAAGAGCTGCTTTGCTTCTATGGGGGCAAAACATTCCGCCGGGAACGTGTACTTTTTATTGAATAGGCTGTCGAGCTCTTTTTGCATCGCTGGGGACAGGGGTGCGGCGGAACGTTGGCGGCGCGGTGGTCCTGAAGACTGCTCGTAGCGCGAGTATTGACGATGGCGATCATGGCCAGAGTCACGCCCATGGTCCCGACCTCTGTACTGGTCCCGCCCTTGGTAGTGGTCCCGCCCTTGGTAGTGGTCCCGACGTCGGTACTGATCCCGACGTCGGTACTGGTCACGGGAATGTGCATGTCGATCAAACTCGGACTCGTGGCGATTTGGGCGGTGATGGCCGGGTTGTTGCCAGTAGGGATGGCTCTCGTGATGGGACGGAAAAGCTGGAGGATGCATTGAGGGGGGATGGTAGCCAACCTGCCCATTGTAGCCATTGGGTGGCTGCCACGATGGAGGTGGGCCATAGCGGCCACCGGGCGGCATACGCCCAGCCATCTTCGAAAGAAAGTGTGCTTGTGAAAGTCAGATTTCCATTTGGATTTGAATTTTTGACGATGAAGATGATGATGTTCACTTTGTTCCCCAATGTGAGATGGGTACCTCTCCACCAATCGCCTCGTGGCATCGTGTCTTCTCATCAACATGAGCGTAGGCATGGACCACTTTATCCGACGACCCTTTGAGTGGGCTTTGCAGATAGATTCTGGAATAAATTCTCAAGTCAGTGCCGACGAGACAAAAACACTACGGTCGTCGAAGTTCTCACAGAGAACACTTGCCATCTCACCTCTGCTATTTCTTATGGTTGGCTCGGACATGGCATGTTGTTGCCTGGGATGATGGCCTGATCGGCCATAATGCTTTTCACTCAAGAAGCTGCATCAGGAGTTGTTGTTGCTGGGCCACCACGTCGCCTCGGCGCGCGTGCCAGGCCTCGAGGAGCCGGAACACGGCTTCACAGGCCTTCAAATTATGCGCCGTGACACCAGGCTGAAAGGGAATGCTAAGAACACCTGTGAGCCGGCCTGCATCTGCGGTGGGCTTGCTGCGGTGGAAGGCCACTTCGGTCGAGCGATCCATGGCGTCATTCAAGGTGCTTTTGCGAGTCAACCCGGCACTACCTGGAAGCCCCATGCTGGTGCCAATCCCTCGGTGCAACAGGTTGTCCTCTGGCCTCACACCAAACAGCACCTGCGAGCCCGGGGAAACAAAAACAGCACCGCCAGAGGCATCGCCTTGCGAACTCTGACTAAGTGGCCGGGTCGAGCGGTGGGCAGTCACAGTTGGGGCAATGTCGTCCCAGTCCCGCACATGCTGTTCCTCCCAATCATCATCGGAGAGTGCATAACCATCTGTTGCCTGAGTGCTGCTGCTGCTGCCGTGACTGGGGACACTGCGTTCAGAGGTGCGACCTCCTTCGTGACGCCAAAAGGAGGTGGCAAGAGAGAATATGTTGAGTCGACGGCTGAGGGGCTCTGAAGATGTCGCGGATCCTGCGCTCACGGGGGTGGGTGTCGTCGCCTTCAAAATGGCAGCAATCAAAGCATGTCGTGTGTGCTGCTCGTGTTCGAGGCGTTCGCGCTGCGAAAGTAGTTGAATCAACTCCGAGTTGAGGCGGGCGACCTGCTGTACCAATGTCTGAGCCCATGCTTGCAGCTCGGTCATCTAAAAGTCAGGTGCCATGAGTGTGCTACTAGGAGTAGCTCAAAGGGCCAAATCCAAGTCGAGCATCTTCCAAGGTGTCGTGAACCGTGAACCAACCTCCAGAGGAATCAGCCGGTCTGTGCTGACATCCATGTCAAAAGCCAGCGGAGTGGTGGAGATGATGGCATTCTCTGGTAAGCGACGATTCAAACTCAGCCCAGTCTGAATCAGACGCTGCAGAATGGGGCTGGCGTCTGCCAGGCGGTCGTCACTCACGCTGGAGTTTGTCCGAAACACGGTGTCGTACTGCTGCCAAAATCGACGCATGCGCATCAAATCTCCACTCAAAAGGTTGGACTTGGCCTCGTTCTGCTGCCGCACGTCGGTGACTGGCTCAAAGGCGAGGGCTGGCGCTGCAACCGTGCTGCCCTCGGAAGCTGCATGTTCGTCTCCCCAAACCTGCGATAGCAGCGCAGCGAGGCCGTGTGCTGGCGCGGACCTGGAGGCAGTTGTCTGAGCCGGTGGACCTGGGCTTGACCAGGTCGGTGCGTCCTCAAAGCTGCCCCAGTCCTCGCTATCCATCCTATCGTCTCTGGCGCCCAGCTGCGCAGCGCAACTCCGACCCTCGGAAGCGATTCACCAGACCCAACCTCACATCATTTCCGCCCTGCGCTTCGCACAGAGAAATGTCACGGCCGTCTGACCCCTACTTCAAGACATTCCCAGGCCGTCCGAGCACAAACCCTGCCCCTGCTGCCGTTGCAATTGCGACAGCAAAGCCGCGGCGTCTTCAGCACGTCACTGTCAAATCGTGGGCCTTTTTTTGCTTTTTTCAAAAGCATTTTTTTTGCTTGGTTTTTTTTTTTTTTTTTTTTTTTTTTTTTTTTTTTTTTTTTTTTTTTTTTTTTTGTGGTGGTGGTGGTGGTGGTGTGTTTGTGTGTGGTGTTGTTTCGTTGCAATTTTCATTAAACCCGAGAACCTGTGATTGCGATTCACGACCAAACGTGTGTGGGGCACATGTGTCGATTGGATCGATTTGCAAATGGGTGGTCTTTGGAAAAAGGTCATTTGCCAGTCCACAGGAGTTGTTGTCATGCAGTCTGGGTGGCGATCGCGTCGATAAGGTCTGTCGTCAACCCCACGAGCTGGAACACTTGCGGTACAAAATAAACGGACACCAAGCCGACCACCTGGAGCCCAACCATATGGGCAAAGAGCAAAGTGAGCAAGAACCAATACTTGCACCCCGCCTTCCCCCAAGAGAAGTTTGTGCCAAAGAACTCGAACCAAGTGAAACAATCGAGACGAACCGTGTATGTCATAAACTTTTGCGGCACGCCAAAAGCGTAGCGCTGCTCTGACGGGATGTCCGAGGTCGGAAGGATCACCAGCAGAATCTGGCGCATCAGCAACTTGCTCACTTGACTGTTAACGTGCGAGCATGGCAAGCGAGCAGTAGTGTGAGAAATTGGTGACAGGGGGTCTCGGGCCCAGTTACAGCGTCGGCGTACCGCGTCAAAATGAGAATGATAAAGCCAAGGAGAGCTCGTGCAAAGGCAACGATGGACCAGGCCCAGAATGGTTCTGCATGCAAGGATCGAGTGGAGCAAAATGAGAAGGTGACGCCGGCCGGTTTCTTCAAGTTCATGAATTGTGAGGCTTGCATTCATTGTTTGGCAATCGTAGTGAGAGCGTAAGGGCCTGCAAGGAACACATACCCTCCAGCCAGGGCAAAGGGATTTCTGGAAAGCCAGCAGTGGCACAGAGATAGGAACCGATGACCACACCGTGTCCCACGCCCGCAATCATGGCCGTATCGCCATATGCGTTGGTCCAGCGACGAGGGCGTGGATAGATCAAAAGAGCCGCCAGACACACGAGCGTCGGGATGTAGAGCGTGTCTGAGCTTGTTGTCACAAACTGGTCCAACCACAGTGCATAGTGGGCAAACCCAATAAACACGAGCGTCTATCATCAAACCCAAGTGCCGGAAAAAGACAGCATCCATGCAAGAGCCACAAAAGAGGTGAGTGCACACTTTTATATTTATGAAGGTGGGAGAGCAAGCACTTGTCCACATGCGAGGTCAGGTACTCGGACCTCAAAGAAGAAGCCGCCAAAGATATCAGGCACAGAGTGCACACCCAGGTAGACACGGCCAAGGGCGGTGATCGTGACGACGGTGGCAGCCAACAACATTGCCAAGGGAAGGGGATACGATCCCTCGCCTAGCCAATATGGGAAGAGTTTGGCAAGGATTAGAAGGAATGTGGCTGCCTTTGGCCATGAAAAGGAGACGTTCTTGCACAAACCAGCATAATCCTTGAGGTAGGTGTAATAAACAATGACGCAGGCTTGTCCCATGACCGACATGGTGTGAGTGGAGGGGAAACCATACTCGGCGAGATAATGCCCCTCAAGACTGCGAACGCGGGGGTTCACGACTCCGGGGCGAGGCAGATGAAAGTAATCCTTGAGGGCCTGGCCCACATACATGGAGATGACCCAAAGGTAGATGATAAAGCGACCCAGTTGCTGGTCAATGGCCCAAAAGCAAAAGGGAAATGCTGTAATGTGGAAGGGCTCCCCACCAAGTGTGGCGCCAAGCAGGGCCAGGATGTAAGCCACCAGGCTGAGGAAACGACGAACGAGCGCAGCCTGGGGATCTTGAAATACGGCAAAACGGGCATCGGCATCAGCCGGGGTATCGTCGTCTGTCTTGACTTTGGTGCGGGCATGCACGCCTGCAAAGGTTTGAAAGTCTTGCACCGTGGTCATGGAACTGTTGAAGACCCATGAAAAGAGGAAGGGGCGCAGCACATCGCGCAAAAGGGCCTTCTTCTCAAAGTCGAGCGCATGCCTAGTTGTTAGTCCCATTGTGTGGCAGCACAGCATAGAGATGAGATTTGAGCCAAGCAGGCAAGGCATCAGCAGAGAGTCGTACGGACCGAGCCTCGTCATCTTTGAGGGCGTCGGTCGATTGCTGCGCCAGCACTTGACGAAAGTCCAGTTGGTCCTGCACACGTGCCGCAGGCTTGAATTTAAGGCCCCACTCGCTCGCGTTCACACACACACACACACACACACACACACACACACACACACAAATGCAAACTTGATCTGACTTCTGAACCTTATTTCAAATGACTGGCCGGCAGGAGCCACTGACCACGATTGGACGCTGGAGAATGGGCCGAGTGGCTGGATCTGGCGACAAATCAGAGGTATCCACACCGCAATCGGGCATCGTGCCGGTGTCTGATCAAGGCTACAACTTAATCCCAGCTACGATGGGATGGTAGCCCAAAGAACAATCCAGCACAATTGATATCGTTAGCTGGAGATCCGTCCCGTTTATTCCGCCCTTCCCAGCCAACTACTAGCTTGCCAGATGGATGCCACCACCGATCCCTGGTTGAGCCTGACTTGCCTTGCGCTACCCCACGTACGTCAATAAATTCAAAAAACAAACACCCCCCCCCCAAAAAAAGGAGGGCAGAAAAGTAAATTACTTTATGCATAAAAGACGGTGCTCACTCATTTCGTGTTCTGCTACTTGCAGGGGTTTCGCGCGCGCGTGTGTGTGCGAGGTGCTCGGGAAAGAGTGATGGCAACGTCGGGAGCTTTTGCGGGTGGCAGTCCCGGAAGGGGCTTTGCTCCACGCGGGCGAGCCGAGTATCGACTCGACTGTGCTGCAAGCATTATCGAGTCCCAATTCGGGCCTATCGTGGCTTCGGTTCGTTCACCACCGCCGTTCACGTGGCGTGACAAATCTATGCCGGGCAAGACGGCCCAAGGCTTGTTGGCGCCCTTGCCAGGGGGGCAATGGTATCAGCGCTTCCTCAACTTTCGGCTTGCTGCAGGTCTTTAGAGTCTTGGCCATCCAACCCTGTCACGTCCGTCGTCTCTACGTGCTTTGCAAGGGCACTAGTCATAAAAACGTGTGTAACAATCTTGCCCTCTGTTGAGATTTGCTGGCGAAGCCTTGTGCAGTCGACACTGATCCAAATGATGTGATCTGGCACATAGATTCGCAAGGCCGTGACAGTTCTGATTCAGCATGGCATGTTGGAGTATGAGGAGGCCGAGCACCCCATCTTTTACGCCAAGATCGAGGTTTGTCAACCCCAATGACTTTGCCCGGGCTCGACCCAGCCTGCACTTGGGCTCTTGCCCTGGTAGCGACGAGCTGTGTGATGCCCTCATACCGAATTTGCTGGTCACAGGACGTGCTGCTGCGCTTGCACTTTCCAGCATATGCCCATGTCATTGGGACGATGTACGGTACCCTGGCCGAACGTATCTTTGAACAGCTTTTCCTGCACGGCCTTATGCGACTGGTACGATATTTTCAACGACACGCAAAACAAAAGGCTTTGCATGTCACATGTGCAGACGTACAAGCACCATGCAATACCAATACGTGTTTCCTCACATTTGTCTGGACCTAGAGCCGTCTTATGGGAACGGTCGTTCAGTTGACAGGCGGGTATGTTATGACAACTGAGCCACCTTCCTTTGCCGACGACCGCATACACTCTTCACCAACTTTGCTTCTGTCTCGACCACCTCAGGCAATACTCCCAGACCGAAATCCTTGAACTCTTTCGTACCCTGGTCCAGGATGCACGGGTGATTCAACTGCATGGCGCGAAAGGTGCGGGCACCCTGCCTTCTCACGGTTTCCACAAGGGGATTCCAGCTGGATGTGGGCTAATCACATTGAATCCTTTCAAAAACCATTCATACTCCCGACAGATTCTGAACTGTTTACTTTTCCCGACGAGTGCAAGAATTTGGGTTTGTTAGCGGCCCCTCTGCTGTTGAAAAATTCTTGGACCCCACTTCCCCGCCTGCTGACTCTGCCATTCTCGTCTCGCCGGGGACAGATAAGCTCATCAGTCAGGAGGATGGTGCCACCAACAACATCTCTGCGGTATAGCCATTGTTTTGAAGCGGCATGCCCCGTGCTTCCGCCAATTGGCGGCCCCGCTGAGCCTCTCCATCTTTTTCTTCATTTACATTCCTGCCCCGTTTTGTGGCGCCTTGCCCAATGACCATCGACTCCTCCTTTTTTCCTCTTTGACTCGATATTGACCCCCCCCCATGACTAGGATCAACACCGCTATTGGACGATCTGCCACACCCAACTCCTTGACAAGCTGCAAACGCGTTGGGGCGTGACGTATATCCGTGCCAAAATCTCCGACGAGGCTGCCATCATCGTTGAGGTCAGCACGCTACAGAGTGGTGTCGGTTCAACAAAACAATTGCCAACGTTCAATTTGCTCTTCTGTCTGCTTCTCGTGTTTGCAGGCACTCGCGGCGCTCCGTCAAAGCGCCAGCCCAGAGGAGGTGTGTGCGTGTGATATAGTTTTACTTCTGCCTGCTCCGTCGCCTGCGTGAACAACGGTAAATCCTTTTTTCTGTGCGAGACTGGTCACCCTGATCTTTTTTTTTTTTTTTTTTTTTTTTTTTTTTTTTTTTTTTTTTTTTTTTTTGCTTTCTCTATTCGCGCTCAGGTGGCCACGCAGCTGAAGCGTATGGGAGCCAAACAGCTGTCACGAGAACATATCGCCGAGGTACCCAATATTTCCCAGGCGCCCTTTGACTTGATACAATACCAATGACTGTCGCGTCGTTCTTTTATTCCTTTTTGAATTTTCTGCAACCCTAGTGGCTCCAAGTGCTCATCAGCGAGGGAGAAGAAATTGTGGTTCAAGCTGGCATGTACGCGTACATGTACAACCACTCGGCCGTCGCCACTGTATCTCGCACGCGTGCAGTCGAGAAGGTATGCGCAAGTCTTGGATGCTTTGCGTTATTGGGCCGAGGGACAGTGGTTGTTCCTTTGCTTCTGCCATCACGCACTGTATGTTCAACCACCCCATGCGCCAGACCATTGAGGAGCGCTATGGCATCGAGAGCATGCGCATCTATAACATTCTGTGCGAGAAGGTGCGCAGACTTGTGACAACCTCTGCGGACCCTTTCGTTTCGCACTGTGGCACAACGCTGTGTTCAAAACTTAATGCGGCGGCCAGCTTCGAGACAAGCTAATCACTTTTGTCAATTCTCGCAGCACTACCTTGAGCAAGATCAGCTCTCCAAGATTGCCATTGCAGCCAACTTCAAAGCGACACGCCTCTTGATCAACCGACTTTGGAAGGCCGGCTTTGTTCAGATTTATGAGGCAGCACGCGCCCAAGACCGAACCACTGGCCGCTACATGCATCTTTGGACGGCTGACCCAGAGGCTGGCCGCCACCTCATCCTCGACGAATGCATTCACATTGCGGTTCGACCAAGGCCTTTTGTCAACGGCTTGGCATCAAAGTTTGCTGCGAGTGTCCGTTCACCACCTTTCCGCTTAACCTTGACCCTGATAGACAAACCTGATACAACGTGAACTCAAAGAGCGTCAGCAGCACGAGCGCATCCTGAGGTGTGTACGGCGAGTCGTTTGCATCTTGCTCTGGTGCCTCTCAGCCTGATGTCATGCCTTGGAAACGTTTGCAGCCAGCAAGAGTTTCTCAGCCAAGAACTGTCAGCCGAGGATGCCGAATACGAGGTGCGTGAGCTTGGTTCTTGGTTCTATGCTTACTATCGGCCCGCATGTGCCCTTTTTGGTAAACCACCTCATTTGGCACCGCTCGGATCTCGCCAACAGGAGGAAAGCGTGAAGGCTGATCGAAAGCAGGTGGGCTCATTGATGCCATTCTTCTACCTGTGTCACCCTTGACAGTCACCTTTAGCCAGCACGCCTGCCGCTCCGACCCTGGATCCCTGTTCGTGAGCTCATTGCCCATGTGCGTTTGCAGTTGAAGAAGGTTTTGGCAGGCATTTCCAAGCTTCATCAACAGCTACTTTACGTCCGTGCCTTGCTTGCATGCGCGAGCTCCCCCAGTCTGCCGTCGCCCCCTGCACTGTCACGCTCACCATGACAAATCTACGTGTGCCATCCGCAGGTGGATCGTTTGATGCTGCAGTTACGCGACTATGCATAGGTGGCCATCGGTAGCACGTGTCAAGGCACATCGAGCCTTGCCAAAGCCAGGTCAAGGACCGGCAGGCATAACGAGCTTGAAGCAATTCATATGCACACAAAGAGAAGCTCAATCCTCATGGGACGCACGCTGCGCGGGCGAGAGCATGAGTCAAAGATGACCAGCACCATCAAAACAATTGACTCGTTCAATTTGATCAGATTGCACCTCTTTCTAAGCCAAATTTGATATGTGGCTCAGCCACCTGTTTCTAAATGGGATCACTGCGTCGCGCCAGCATGTCTGTAGCAGTTGCTCCTTGCGCAAAGGCACGCACGCTTAATAGCCAGCGGACCGTTTGATTGAAGGCAATCACACCAGGCACCCTGCGACGGCAGCCCAACGATTTCTCAGATGGCGCGCGGATGCAAAGATGACGACGGATTCTTCGGGCATGGGATTTGGCCATCGACGAGTGTCACGGGCGTCAAACCAGCAAGGCGCAACATACCCGCGTACACCCCCCGGCTGTGAAAGGATTGCCGATACGCACTCTGCATGCGAGAGAGGAATGTTGTTGTAGCCATATCGAACCTAAGCAAGGTGCGAACAATTAGCCGCCGCACATGCAACAGAAGACGAGGCACAGCTGACTCACCAAATCCTGGTGCACCACGCTAAATGCACGTGTGGACAGAGTTCCGGAAAGGTTGCGATCCAAGACCTGTGTGGCACGGCAAAGAAAAATGAGAGAGCTCATGGATGCAAATTCCGGTGGTCTCAAAGCAAGATGGTTGGCAAGCAGAGAGCTATCCGACCTGCCAAACACCAACAAACTGCGTAAAGAGACGCGCAGTCCGGTCGTTGGCGTAAATGTCGGCCAAGAATCGCCCAGCGTCCTTCCACCTAATGGCACATATTTACAACCCAGCAAAACACATGTTTAAATCGAGGCAATGCACATCTGCAGCCTCAGCGTACAAAACCCCCTGCACTCACCAGGTCAGGTATACTGCATGTGAGACGTGGGTCTCATGACGAGCCTAAGCACGCCAAGACACGAGATGAGCAGAACGCCAGCACTTTGCATGCAATGCAACACGGGTATAAGTATTGACCGGACAATTTATTTTTTGTCGTCCTGTCAACGAACAAGTTAGCATCAACACATAAAACACATACCAGAGCCTCAAAGGCCTCGTTGTTGCGCACGTAGAGCCCAAGATCATAACACAGGCTACGAAACTCAACGGCTGTGAGATGACCGGCCACTGCCTTTGCAAAACGTGGAAAAGCTGCTGATGCCGCTTGCATATATGGCGGTTGATCTGTTACGGGACCCTTGCGCTCCCAGCGCCGCTTCTATACGTTACGCCAAACACGCCAAAAGGCAAAAGAAAAAAAAAAAAAAAAAAAGAGAACAAGTTGTCCAGGAATGATCGGCCATGTGAGACACAGGGCCAAGTACTGCAAGGCATTGTGTTTATTGAGATTCGAAAACGAAGAAGGAGCGCCTACCATGGAGTAAACCGAATGCGATCGAGCCCTGGCCGTTTGCTCGCTTTCCTCTTCAACCACTTGATCCAAGATTTCTTGAAAGCGCTGAAAAGGTACACTGGAAAACACAAAATTATAGTGAGACAGGCGAGACATGGGAGCGGAATACAAGTGACATGCAGGAGCACAGTGGCAACTGTTCAAGGGCTGAGAAAGCAAGCGCGCAGGAGACAAAGAGGCGAGTGACACGCCACGTACGAGCGACCCAAAGCACGCAATTGCTGGAGTTGGGCGTGCTCTTCAAGACCCATCACACGACACAATTCCTCAAGGTCGTTAATGCTCAAGACGCTCGGGGAAGCCTGGCCTGTGCGCTGCAACAGCGGTATGGCCGAGACAAAAACAATTGCCGGATCAATGAGTTGAGAGCAATCCGAGTCAAAAAGAAGGAGGCGGGGAGGACAGTTCGACGGTATCACTGACTCGCTCGAGCGCGCGCATGGCAAAAGAATGTAGGCTGCGAGGCGAAGGCGAGGGCTACACCAAACGAATGCAGATGAAAGAGAGCAGAGGGGCGGGGTGTCAGCAAGCAGTAGCATGGGGGCATGAAGAAAGAGACCCCTTGGGAAGCAACGCACCAGGGCTTGTCCGCCGCGCGGGCGTGGAGGTGTTGAGATATCCGCAGTGGGGGAGGCACGTCCATTGACAGAAAGCACGCGGGAGCGTGTTCGCATCAGTTCCGACTAGAGCGTGGTGCACATGTCAGATTGACTCAGCCAAGCCAAGACCACAGAGCAGAGCAATTCGTTCCGTGGCAACAGTGACCAACTTTTGGGGATGAGGGCACAGATGCAGGCTCAAGGTCGCGCTTGATCTCATGCCAATTGGCTAACATGAACTAAACCCAAAAATATGCGATTATCAGCCGGTGAGGTTGTTGCTGGTCGAGATGCAGGCGCTCAAAGCGATGTAACCCCCGACCTGAGTGATGGCATTTTGAGAGTGCACGTCAAAGAAGGGTTGCGCTCGCGCATCATTACTGGCGGGCGTGAAGATGGTGGGGCCGAGACAGGTAGCCAGTGCTTCCGCCGACATCAAGTTGGATGCAGTATGCTCCAACACGCGCGCAAAATGATCAAAAAGAAACTAAGAGATCAGGTCGTCAGATGAAAACATGAGGTCGGAATATGCTGAGCGTTGACGGAATGTTTGACAATGATACACAAACCTTGAGTGTGTCGCGATTCTCCTTGGGTAAAGCTTCGATTGTACCACGTAGTAGGCGCATGCGCGACATGTGGTCGGCCTGAGATTGAAGCCGGACATGGCAATATGGAGCAAAGGGGTGAATGCTATCCATGCCAACCGAGCGCTGTATTATTGGCTGCAAGATCAATGGCAATGAAGGCTAGAGCAGACCTGTTCACCCGCGGCCTGTAAAAAGGCTTTGTAAAGCTCTGAGGTCACAATGGGCTCCGGTAGCTCACGCAAAAACTTTTTCAACAAACCAGTGACGGCAGATATGCTGGGAGCTTCGTTTTCCGTCACCTACTCGTAGATCAGTCATCAAAGTCATCAAACAACCTCCGGAAGCTGTAATTGGTCCCCCAGTAACTTTGGCGCTCAATTGATTGTGGTCGGGAAGGTGTTGGCAAGGGAAAGCGTACCTCGGCTTCGTGGGCAGAGAGCACAAATTGTTCGGCTAAAATGTCAATGATGCGCTTGTTGCCGGCTTTACGATACAAGCCTTCCTCCTACGGCAGGCCAACATGAGACCAGTGGCAAGAAACAAGAAATACAACCAAATATCGAGCCGGGTTATCAACGTAGCAAAGTGGCCTGTTATGGCTGTGAGCATCACGCAAGTCCAACCGACTACTGTGCGACGAACCTGAAGGCCACGCTGATCGATTTCGTACACGCATTTGGTGATGAGGTGGGGAATGGAGCGTTGCTCACGTCGACAAACATCGGCCAAGGGGAGTCCAAAGAGGTTTGATGCATCATCGAAGGAAATCGACATGAAGAGCCGGCCTGAGCGTTATGCCAGCAAAAAAATGGTGCGAACAGATCAGAAAAAGGGTGGGGTGAGCGATCATCGTTATTCGATGGAACACAAGATTTTCAGCGTAATCAGACAGTAACATGGGTGGACGCGGCGGCTGACCAGCTGGCGAAAGTGACATATTTAAAGCCTGTTCCTTCCCATCGATCAGAGCGTGCAAGTCGATGCGGGCAGAGGCCATCTCGCGATCTCGATTATGCTTGTGCTTGCTCTTATCTCGAACTACGAGGCAAAACATCACAAGACATGAGCAGGGGGGTCTCGAGTCCAACCCGACCGCCCACCATGTCCTTCCTTGCCACCAAGTTGTGACGCGAACGAGGGAACACTGCACAAACTTGAGACTTGAAGAACTTCGCCATTAGAAAAGCCAGGAATGACAATCTATGCATGGACAAACCACGGCGCGAGGTTGGATCAACCGATGGCATGAGTCAGACTCGATAATGGATCGTGCGACCCAGGCAAAGTTGACTGTACCTACCGTCTCGTTCCATTCGGGGCTCAGGGTTTTGCGACGGACAACCGTGCGATAGCGCTAAGGGTTGGTTGTCACAGCAAGTAGCAGATGCATATGGAGGTGATGCGCACGGGTGTCAAATGAGCGAGTTTGTCGCAAGAAGTTTGAGCGGGACGCTCAGCTCGAGCAACACGTTTGTTCTGGAGGGCGGGACCTACACGTTGATCGCCTCCGCCCACGACGCGAAGCTCGCAGTAGGGATCACACGAGGCACCAACAGGCAGGTCAGTGGCGTGAGAAACAACAATGTGCAGTGTTCCGCTCAAGCCCGTGGAGGCACTGTTTTTGACAACGTCCATGCTGGCCGGGGCAGAGCTGCGTTGCTATGGATAAGAAAAAGATGGTTCCAAGACGAGGATGACACGATGGGACGACGGGTCCCAAAGGTGAGGACGAGTGCGATTGCTGAGTTGGGCGGAAGCTGATCCAAAGGCGACTGACCTTGCGGCCACCCGTGACCATGCTGCGCAGGGCCCCGAATGCTGACGCCATGGTTGGCTTGCTGCGAGAAGCGGGGGCGGCAAAAGGATATGTGCGGCGGGGAGATGACGAGGCCCAACGATGCCGTGACGGGCGGCGATGGGGATTGGAAACGGGTAGATCCATGTTCATGGCATGAATCATATCCACGGGAGAAGACAGAGAGAAAGAGAGAGAGGGAGCATATGAGCACAGGAGCCAGGGTTTGCGAACAGCAATGGATGGTTGTGGACAGCGGCTTGTCGATCATTGCTCGCTTGTCTGGTCATCAAGGAGCTGGCCAAAGGGAGGAGAAGGAAGCGGGGCAGGCTTGTACAGCAAGCATGGGGCGTGTAAATTGATATGTGTGTGCGTACCTACACGAGAGCTTAGAGGTAAGACGAGACACCAGAATGATTATTTGGCTCGAGCTGAGGGAATAGAGAAGCTGTGGTGGCGATTGCGCTTATGCCATGATGCTGCAGGCGAGCAGGCGTAAATTCATCAAGGGGGCCACTACGCTCGCAGCCACAGATTGATTGGGCGAGGCGAAAGCGATTCAAGGCAATGGTGGCCAAACCTTGAAGCCCGGTCCGCAGCAAGAGGAAGCACAAGGGGGTCACGATCAAGGAGTCGAATGCAGCTCGATGGAAAACAATGACACGGCTCGAGCAGGCTCGACGGTGTATTGTCACCAGTTTGCGGCCGCGACGTGTCCTCTTTGTGATCGCGGAAGCCAGCGTCCACTACGAAGAAGGAAGCAGTCGCAAATGAAAGATTTGGGTGAGGAGCAGCTGTTCTGAAGGCATGAAGGGGCATCATCGCACGCGCACCGTACCTTTGCGCATTCAATCTTGAGCCGTCCACAACAGGTGTATGGGCCTTATTGCATGTCCCCCAGAAGACCCGTGAAGGATGCAGCCAATCGACTCGGGTCGTGATCACTCACTCGGGCCACATGCACACACACCCGCGCGCGCGCGAGAGAGAGAGAGAGAGAGAGAGAGAGAGAGAGAGAGAGAGATGAATTGGTTTGAGAGAGAGAGAAAATTATTTCAGCTGCATGCAAACAAAAAAAAGCTTTTTGAGGTTGACACGCAATGGCACCTTGTTGGGTTATTGAAGCGTGTTGGGGGGTTTTTGCAGATCTTATATGGAATGTGAAGGTGAAGCAAGCTTATATGGTCACATGGTTCTCGTTGTAGAAATAAAAGTTATTTTGTTGTTCACCCATATCGGCTGGAAGTGAGTCTAGACTGCAAATGGCAGCGTCACGCTTTCCCAACACCCGGCCTCACACACGCACACACACACGCACACGTGTGCAAACGAGGCAGACTTTGAAGACGGCTCACTTTGAGACGAGAGGCGTTCGGTGCTCCTTGACCTGTGTGGTTGAGAGCTTTCCCCACGATCATCTCTTGATCCTGCTCAGAGCCGACATCAAAGTGCTCTTGGTTCGAGGTGCTTTGCATCGTCTTCTGCTCGCGTCCCCCCGGCTCGGCAGCCGGGCGTGTGTCAATGTGTGTCTCGTGTTGTTTTTTCGCAAACCCTCGACCATCCAACCGCCAGCGGTTGAGCCCAGGCCATCACAGGGCTGTTGTGTCTAGCATTGGCATGTCGACAGTAGTAGCGAGCCTGGCACACACACGCACTCACACCCATCTCCTACCTCAGGGTAGCGCAGCGAGCACCGTTCAGAGCCTTGCATTTGATCATCGTCTTTTTCACTTTGGACTCTGCCTTGTAGGTGTAGCCTTGGCGTGCAGTACGCCGCGCCTGAACGACGGATATGGCTCGCTAGCGGAATACGGTCCTGGGCGGCGTCATGGACCGCGTTATTCTTCACTTTGACCTCGACTGCTTTTACGCTCAAGTACACATGGTTCAAGAGCCGGAGCTACGCCTGAAACCGCTTGGAGTTCAGCAAAAAACCATCTTCGCCACTGTGAATTATGTCGCCCGCGCGCGTGGCGTGCCCAAAATGGCCCGGATCAGCGAGGCCCAACGCATTTGTCCCGATATTGTCATTCGCAATGGCGAAGACCTCACGGACTACCGTGAAGCCTCGGAACATATTTTCGCTTTCCTGCAAGAGCAGTTTCCACATTGCCCAGTTGAGCGGCTGGGTCTGGATGAGTTCTTTGTGGATGCCACCACCCCAGCGCATGCCCTCTGCTCAGACGGCTTCTGGTCGCCAACTCCGCACTTTCATCTCACTGCCAGCCCCAACTGGTGTGGTCATGTGATAGAGGGTCCCGAGTCGTTGCCCATGCAAGATTTGGACACCCCTCACCCTGACCCAAAGCGCGCCCACCTATCTCAACAGCCGGCCGCCCACGCCGCCGCCAATCTCGCGCAATATCAGGCATTGCGTGCAGGAGCACAGCTTACCGACTGGGCTCGTAAGGAGCTCAAGGCCAAGTTTGGCTACACCTGCAGTGCGGGCATTGCTGTGAACAAATTGCAAGCCAAAATGGCTGGTGAGCTGCACAAGCCCGATGACCAGTCCTGCCTGTTGCCCCGAGCAGCCCAGGCCGTGATTCTGCATCGTGGTCTGCGGCGGGTAAGCCCCGCCCCACCTCTGCTTGCATCTTCCTCGTTCACAGACATGCCCTTGAGAAGCGTGGACTTTATTTTTTCACGTCTTTTGATTGTTGTTCTGTTTTGGCTTGGCTTGGTTGTCTGGCGCGTCAGGTACCTGGCCTAGGCCGTGCCATGTTCAAACGGCTTCAAAAAGTTGACTTAGCATCCGTGCCTGCACTTTTGGGCGCCACCCATGAGCAGCTGGAGTTGGCCCTCGGCCGTCAATCGCAGGAGGCTTGGCGTCTGGTCCGTGGTATTGATGAGACTGGTTCGTGTCTTTGCGGGAATCAGCCACTCGAATTTTGGCTTTTGGTCGCCGTACTCGAAACCGCGCTCTGGCTCATCTGCCCCTTCCACCCCTGGCTTGCATAATATGTGCACGTAGCTGTGCAGCAGACTGGGCCGCCCAAAACCCTCAGCAATGAGGACAATATTGGCCGGACCTCGGACATTGCGCATGTCATGACGCGCTTGGAGCCTTTGGTTCACCGTCTACTTGCACGCATTGTATGTCTGACCGCCCAGGCTCGGTGACCCTCTTCGCGGACCGGGCTCTCATCAAAACTTTTTTCGGCAGGATCACCAGTATGAGCTCTACCAGCGCCGGCCCCGCGTCCTGCGCCTCTCCGTGTGTGGGGCTCGCTACCATGATCGCGTCAGTCGACAAGAGTCACTTCCTGCATCCGTGCTCAGGATGGTGCGTTCCGCTTTGACGCACGCATCAGCAGAACCAGACGCGCGACCCCGCCAAAAGTGATGAGGGTCTGCTGTTTCAATGATGTTAGGCGCCGGGGCCCCGTGCTGAAGCTATTCTAGATCGCTGCGTGCTACTCCTTCGCAAGCTGAAACCAGAACCATTTGTCATCTCGGTCATCAACGTGGGTGTGACCTCGTTTGATGACCATCGAGCGCCACCCGCAACCCACCGACTGGACCAATACTGGACGACCGAATCCAACCCCGCACCCCCCACATGCCAGACTCGGCCCCAGGCTTACCCTCCTCTTCAACTCGAAGGCGGCGAGAACGTCGAGGAAGAGGAAGACATTGAAGCCCTCTTTGAGGACGAGAATGCAGCTCTTGAATGTTTCACCTGTAACTCTTGTGGGGCTTGCTTACCTGAATTCTGTCGTGCAGCACACACCCTTTTTCATGCCGATCAAGTTTGAGAGGAAGGCTCGTATTTAATTTGGCCAACTTGTGCCTGCCTTTTGTTCATTCGTATACGTTCTGCTCCAACCCCACTGACCTTTGTGCGAGCCGTGCTTGTGAGTGCCGACTGGAAGAGTGTTACTTTGAATCGATAGTTAGATTGTCTTTCAGAGCTCATCATCTCATTGAGATGCGAGCATAAACACTTTCAAGATTGTAAACAAAAGTCGGTAGGATGCAACGGTTCAGGACTTGTGGTGCTTGCCAGAACGGGCCCGCGTTTTGTGGTTCGCCTTGGAGCGCTGCTCTGCCACTTCCGAGGACTGGATGGAGGGTGCGCTTCGAGATGGCTTGTTGCTTGGCAGACCCAAAGTCTTGGCTGTCGTGCCTGATGTCGTGGAGGCTTTTGAAGATGGGGTGCGTTGACGACGCGTCGTCCTCTCTGAGCGGACGGCACCCTCCTGCTGCACGGCAGTGTGCGTCGAGCCCTCTGTCGGCTGGCTGCGGGAGTGAGCACTGGCCGCGGTCTCGCGCTTGAGCTCAAGGAGCGGATCCTTTCCCACGCCTATGGGAGTTGGTGGCTTAAAGGCTGGGGTAATGAGCTCGTTACCCTCAAGGTCGAAGAAAGCATCGGATTCCATTTCATCGTCCGATGCTGAATTGCCTTCACTCTCCATATCATCGAGGTCGTCCTCCTCGCCCTCAATGATGGTTGACTCGGTACTTGGCTGTCGTTGGCTGAACCTTTGGGTTTGCGGCATGGCAATAGACAGATTGGCGAAGCTGCCATCCTTCGTAGTGCGTGCCAGCCAATCCTCGATCATGGCAGGGGAGAGCATTACAGCCTGCGAAAAGCCGGCACAGCACAGAATCAGTCATGCCAAAGCGCTGTGAGGTGTCGCCTTGTTGGGATGAAATCTTGGGACTTACGCCCTGTGAGCTACGTTGGATCTCACGCTGAAAAACGGGAAAAATGCGCCTGCAGGCAGTAACGACAAAGCACGGCCCCATCCACGACGTGAGGATGCAACTCAAAGAAGATGCCGCAAGAGGCGGGGTGTCGGGATTAAGTCCAGGCGTTGAACGGCCTTGACGTACCGCGTCAAAAGGTCCTGGACCATGGGGCGAATGACGGGGGCGCCGGCCGAGTTCAGGCCTTTGCCCGTCACAATGACCACTTGGGAATAGATCCCCGGCGGGGTTAGCATTGAGGGACGCCACACACCATCAAAGGCCGCGCTGCTGCCAGGCACGTTCCAAGCCCGTGTTGGGCGCTGGGCTAGAGATGTTAAATCTTCGTCTTTGAAGAGGTTTGTCAACCCTAGCTGAGGCTTGCGGCGATATATTTGCGAAGCCAGAGCAAGACCCAGCGGCTGGGCATCAGGCTGCAGACGAGTGTACTTTTGAAACAGAGGACCGTTGACATGCTGATCCGGGATAATTCGGATTGAGTGCCAGTCCTCTTCAAGCAAGGCTGCACAACAAGGAAGCAGATATCGTTAGGTGAAACACCAAAATCCGAGCGTCCTGACCAATGAGGCGAGGTCATGGTCCCAGGGAAGAATACACCCATGTTACGTTGGCAAAGCTCTCACACATATTGGGTGAAAGAACATACCGGGTTTGGGTTGCCCCGCACGAAAGTGCGAATAGCGGTATAAGGCTAACTTGAGATCTTCCATAAAGGCAAGAACCGCCATCCGAGCCACGGGCATGGAAAGCAGGTGCAAATCAAGTAGACCCTCGCGCACTTTGGCAGTTTGGAATTGAAACCCGCCGTGTTGGCAGGCATCGCGCCACAAGGCCATACCCAGGAGGGCATGGTCAGCTCGCTTCATGGGATCAAGGTTGGCCAAGAGCATGCGAAAGCCCATTGTATCTGGCGCAACACGATGTGACAAGCTCATGTACCAGAGGTACACGGCGTCCACAATGTGCCCACGAGCTGCATGTCCGCCAATCAAAATAGAGAATGCGGTCGTCGTGACCGACGCGCTCGTGTGCTTTTGCAAGTGTTGGCGGTAGTGGTGCAGCATTGTTTGCACCTTGCCCGTGCGGCTCAGCACATCCAAATAATGCAAATGCACCACCGGATCTGCAAACGCCCAACCAGTTTAGCGGCGAGACAGGTGCAACATGGGAAAGGTGCGCAAAACAGCTTCGGCAACGCACCATCATTGCGCACCAGCGGAATGTAACTATGCGCTCGAGAAAGGTCGTGTACCTAGGAGCGCCACAAGGGATGGGTAAGTTTTCAAAAGGTTGCGCAAAAACATTTATATCAGCAGTCAAACGCTCCAATGAGCAGAGGGACATACGATGGAGGACATGCGCAGGGCCAGCGTCAGAAGCTGATTGCTTTGGGTGTCATCAAAGCGTGACTGGTGCCGAATGCTCGCCAAGCCAAACTTGTCAAAGAAGTTCAAGCCGGCCAACACCAGCTCTCGGTGCTGCGTGAGCCAGGCAGGCAAGGCATGGGATTGCAGAAGCATGTGAACTTGAAAATGAATCAACCCGACTATGACGCGACGACATCTAGCAACACACGCGACAAGGGGGCACCAACGGCGCCCTTCAAAGAGCGCACAGCAGTGGAAACGCACATCTTGATAAAAGACGCAAGCACTCATGATGGTACGAAGAACCTCAAAGCGTAGTGGGTTGCTCGTAGCTTCATATTCCGAGAGCACCTAAGAGGAATCAACGATGAATCAGTCCAATTGCCATGATCGGTCATCGTTCCAACGTCCAAGAGCTGGACGGCCATGCGACACGAGACGAGACCCAACCTTGAGGAGTTGCTGCTCAGATCCACTCTTGGCGAACAGGACGAGTGCATCTTGCGAATCGTTGAGTCGGGTTTGAATGTCAAAGCCTGGCACATACCGCAGATGATGAAACACACTCTTGAGTGAGAGATATTACAAACTATTTCCGCCTGCTCGTGCCCCTTGATTTATCGAAAGGGAGGCAATCGAACAGTCTTGAGCGTGCAACCAACCAGTGGTATTTTTGGCTGCCTCGATCAACAAGAGGCAACGCCGATACGAGTCGCGGGATTCTGCTCCTTTCAGGCGAGCGCCTTGTGCACAAAGCAGCGTCACAACCTTGTCCATGTTGGCATCGAGTCGGGCCCGCAATGAGAAGGGCCGTGCGTGTGACACCTCGCGTTGCAGTGCCGATGACAGAACTGGAAGCCGGGACATCCTACTACCCGCCAGCAATCGAAAGTTGGGCGTTAATCAGGTCTGTGTAATGAACATTCATGGGCATCACGGGAGGGCCCGTGCAAGCCGAGACAGAAAGAAACGCAGCATGACATGAGTTTGCCCTATGTCAGCTGTAGTCGTGTGCACGCACCCGATGTCGATTTCAAAAAGGCCTGCCACTTCAATCAGAGCCTCAATGTCCTGTTCATCCGCCAGACCAATGCACAGGCGATGCCAGCCGCGTCGGTTGAAACCAAAGCCAGCAGCCACCATGGCTTCGGCTGCAGCGCGGATGCCAATGTCCGCATGCCGCATGCAAGCCACAATGTCACCCGAGAGGGGATGAAAATGTTGCCGCTGGTCAGCAGGGGAGTACTTGGCTACCAGCGGATACAAGGATTGCAAAAGGCTGGGCGTGTCAATTTCAAATCTAAACATTAAGTTTGGGAGATGTCGATCGAAAGCAATGAGACCGAGTGCAGGTAAGCAGGTAGACGCCAACATGAGACACGTGTCTGCCTTGGCTCCTCGCGCCAAAAGGACACGCCAAGGGCGCAAACAAACCGCATTGGTTGCTGCAGCAACGCGATTTCTCTGATTAGCTTGGCCAAGTCAGCGGCCGGGGGAAGCCTGTCTTTCTCGGCTAGGCGCTGCATTGAACCAGAAACAAAACGACTCAATATCAGGACATCTCCAAGGAGTAAAACATCGACGTAAACTATCAGAAAGTTGGCTATGCAAGGCAAGGTACACACCTCAAGAGCAACCATGCCCCGCTCTACACCCAAGTCTGGATGCCAGTCTGCGTGACGAAGCAATGAGCATTGCACCCCTGCGTGATTCCGCAGCAGGGACAGCCTGGAGACAAGAATAAAACAATGATACCCATTGATTGGCACTGAGAAAGAGCGCGGAGCCAAGTCGGTTCGCGACCACTCGGGTGCTGCGTGGACTTACCCGCCCAGCATGGCCAAAAGGTTGGAAGCGTTTGCTTCCAGAGAAGCTCGAACACGATCCCACGAGAATAGGACAAGGGCTCGCAGCGGTGACTGCCAAGCGATCAGACGCCCCGAGTGGACAGAGATGGAAGCAGAAGCAACGCAAACCATAAGCATAAGCATATCCCGTGGTAAGTATAGCGTCGAACAAACCCTCAATCTTTCTTCCCTCCTCAAGAAAAGGGGCAGGCAACGAAATAAATTATGCCCAAGAACCAGGAATGTAAGAAGGACGAACCCAAGTGGCTGGGCTAAGATGCATGGTGGTGGGGTCTGAGCCTTCGTCCAACTCCTCGGCCACTTGGGGTGCATGCTATGTAGCGATAAGAAGTCACGGTACAGAGTGAATTTGAGAAAACGCAATGGCGGCACATGGCGTTAACGACGAAGCAAGCCTGACTGGCAAGTCAGCGGACCTTGAACGAAAGCTGGGGCGTGGCATCTTGGGATATGAAGGTGTTGTTGCCAGACGGGTTGGTAGCGCCTTCTTCGTGAACCTGGCTGAAAAAGCCAAGTTCTTTGTCGGTGGGCAACTCGCTTTTTGCGTCAGCTTGGGGCAGAACAAAGTGCCAGCGAAAGGTGCCCTGGTCGGTAGTTTCATTGGAAAATTCCTGGGCCTCAACGCTAAAGGAAGACCTAAACCAGTCGAGAAAAAAAAAGGTCGAGCACATGTGTAGTCATGAAGAACCAGGAGGAAAGCAAGCGTGACACGGTCTTGAGCAAAAGAGAAAATTGGGGCAAGAGCAAGGCGAAACGGGGGTGAAACGAAAACTCACTCGTTGTTGTGCATGCGCAGCTGTTGAACTGGAATAGTGGTCAGGTACATTTCAGCAGCCGACAATTGGCTCCATTTATCCGTGCTCAGCACGTGAGAATTACCCCTACCAATTGCGAGGCATCCCGCAGTGAGGTGTAGGGCCAGAATGCATCACACGGCGGGCTATGCAGTGTGTGTGTGCGTTCCAATCCCTGGATGTTGATGGCGACGTACGATATAAGAGAGGTGGTTACAATAGCCACTTGACGGGCTGTGAGGAGGCTGCGCAGGCTTTCCTATAAACAAAGGCGTAGTGGTGTGCGTGGGCATTGCAACAATAACAAGAGCGACAACGACGCCAAACACATGGCTGTGAGCTTAAAGTAGAGGTGGCGCGTTTCCAAGCGGGCACAAAAGAAGGCTTGCACTCGAGCAAAGGGGCGGGAGGGACATACCGGGCCTGCATAGGTGCCAGCAAGGGGTGCTAAGCGACCAAGAGTAGAACGACATTGCCGGCACACAAGGGCAGGTGCACCCTTGCGTCTGGACCACTGGGAGGGATCGCTAAGCGCAAAATCATGCTGCTTGACCGTGCGCGCCGGCAGAGCTGGACGCGCCAATCAAAAAGAAACAAGCACATGCACACACGCGTCCACAGAGAGGGCAAGTAAGTGAGCGAGGGACCGAGTGAGCGGGTGATTGAATGGGTGAATGGATGAGGAGAGACTCGCTGCAAGTTGACAAGTTTGAGCAGACAACAGGGCAGCGTGCAAACGTCACCAAATTCGGCAACGGTGCGCGGGTTTGAACACAGCTGCGTGCGGGGGAACGCACCGCGGGGCCCAGCCAGAACGATGCCCAGGTTGTGGCCTGTATGATCTTGATGGCGTACAAAACTAAACCCCGAGGTATCGCTGAGCACAGTCTGGCACTTGCGACACCGAAGATGAGAGCGTGCGAAAATGGGGGTCAGGAGGGCAGAACGCAACCGCTTGAGCAAGCCGTCCTGGCTTTGCGGGGATTGGTTCAGATTATTTTGCAGCTGTCGCTTGATCTGACTGCCAAGTTGGGACCGTTGGTTTGACAGCCACCGAGTGGCCATGGGTAAATTAAACGAGCCCCCGCGCGCTGGCTGGCTGACGGCAGGGTTGGGCCAAATGGGCTTGGCCCATGGTCGCAGAGCGAGTGCCCGCATGACCCGTCACGCCGGCACCAAATGGGAAGGCCGTGGCCAAAACGCAACGCACACAACCCGACGGTTTGACTTCAGCTCATGGTTACGACGCTGTTGGAACTCTCATCCGACCAAGTGACTTGAAGCGCGCCACCGAGCGAGCAGTGCATGAACCGGTGTTCACGCGGTGGCACGACCGATCCTGCGCCAGTGTGAAATGCATTGACACGCGGGAACAGACAAGAGAAGAGAGAAGCCCAAATTGTCAGAGCATTTAAAATTCTGACATTGGAAACCGTTTCGGTCGTTTCGACTTCTCAGTGCCATCATGGCAACCAGGATGCATCCATCCGATCATCTCTGGCATGTCTCATGCGATGCTTTGGAGGAGGATCTTGCTCTCAGGGTGCCAACAACATGGTCTCTGATGGCCCATTCAGGGTGGTTGTCCATGGCTGATGGTTGGCACTGAAGAAGAGTTGGTATCAAACCCACCAGACTAGCAACATGCCTTTATCAACATGGACTGTGAATTTTTGAAACATGTTTATGACATTGTTTGCATGAGGCATGGGGAGGTGCCAGCTTGTTTGTTGGTTTGATGAATGTTTAACTTACTTTGCGAAGTTGACATGTGAATCACAGGGCTTGTGTTTGAGGGGTGGCACACCTTGATGATCTCAGCATGAAGCGGCATGGGAAAGAAGAAAAAAAAAGGGCTGATGGGTTCTTGGTTGATGGGTGAGATGGAGAACGGAAGCTCGAAGGCATGGTGGATTAAAAGACGAGTGACAAATGAGATGGGAAGCGGGCAGGGGTAGGGAAACAGAGGCAGTGCATGTAATAAAAAAAAAGAGTAAAAAAAGAAGGAAAAGAAAGGACAGGGCAGGAAAGGACAGCAAAGGATGCATATTTGAGATGCGAGAGGGGGAGAGGGAGAGAAAAAGAGAGAGGGAGAGAAAGAGAGAGAGAGAGAGAGAGAGAGAGAGAGCTCTTCGGTTCCTTTTCTTTAAAATTTGGTATGGGGGAAGGCGAGAACAAGGGAGAGGAGAGCTGCTGGATCACCAAACCTATTGGGCATACTTGACGGTCCATTCACGAGCCGTCTTGTTGTACTTTTCACGATCCGTCTTGTATACTCGTGCAATCTCGGGCACCAGAGGATCATCGGGGTTACTGAAAGCAGCAAAAGCAGTGGCACAAGACAGACGTGAGTGTAGCGTGCGAACCGACACCGTTTCCAAGACGAGGGCCTGAAATAAACCACCACGAGGACGCGAAGAGTACAAAAGCATTCAACTTACGGGTCTGTGAGGAGAGAGCAGATCGAAAGGAGAACCTTCGATATCGTCAGAGCTGGGCTCCACTGGCCCTTCAGAATGTCTGTGTCCAACAGACAAAAGGCAGGAAACAAAACCAGAGTGGCGTGAGGCTGAACCAAGCCATGGTTTCGGCTTTGGAGCAAGTGTGGAGTGGTGGCACCACGACGTACCCAGGCAGATACCACCGTTCGAGTTGATGTTGGGGTGATACACCTTGGTCGTGAAGCCAACCTGAGACCCAGGAGAATTTGGGGAGAATTTGAGGAGGGGGTGAGGGTGCAAGCAACCGCCATCATCAGAGTGACAACCCTGAAGCAACACGGGCCTGGCTCCACGCTTCGACAGTAGCGGCACAGAAAGCCTCTTCGACAAGAGTCGCGCAACCCCGTCACAAACCTTGGGGGGCTTGAAGGGATAGTCTGCGGGAAAGTGAATATCGAGGAAGAAAACGCCGCCCTGGTACGGACTGTCATGGGGGCCTGTGCAATGCCGGTGGAGTGCATGGACGGGTGAATGACTTCAACATCCGGACACATCAAGAGACATTGACGATTGGCCATTGAGCATTGGGTATGAGACGTGGCAAAGAACCGCGCGTACCCATGATGGTGGCCTGCCAGTGGAAAAAGTCATCGCCAACGGGACCGGCCGAGCACTACAAAACGGCATGACACAGCAAGCAAACAGCAGGTGGCTCATGAGTTGTCCACGGGGAGCGCTTCTCAAGCTGGCTCTACAGATGGATAGACACCGCCAGTAACCAAAAAAGAGGAGCCTGGCGAATATTGCAACACGCATTGGCAGGCGGAGCCCACGCCCCCCTCATGACGACTGTTGTGTCAATCAATCCCTCGCCTCGGGTCCCACACCAGCGCAAGCATCCATCAGCAAGGTGTCCAGTCAACACCCAAGCTTATGATGAACAGGAACAATGGCAAGCAGATGGCAGGCTTGGGAAGGAAGAAAAAAAAAAAAGGGCAGCGGTTCATTGAAGACTGTTTTCGATGGCTCACAAAGCAAAAGGGCAACAAGTCAACCATTCAACCATTTCTGCCTCCCACCACCATCCCACACGAGGGCAGCGGGGGTCATTTGACGACGGCTAGCAAGCTCAAGGGCAGCGGCGGCTCGCTCAAGCAGCCAAGGGTCACCAACCTGTGCTGGAGGCTCGCGCTCAAGGTCTTTGAGCTCACGGTTGATGCGCTTCAACGCCATGGTGCTCTGATCAAAGAGGGACGCGGGTGGAGGGGGAAAAGGGGGAAGGTGTTGTTGGTTCAACAAGAAAACTGCAACTTGGTAGTGGTCGGGCACGTAACGTGGTGGTGACGGCGCTTTGTTGTTGCCTCAAAGGGTGGGGGGGTGGCCGAGCACGGGAGCGTTGCACGCTTCTGCACGCTTCGGTCGAGAGGGCGCTTGGCTGCACCTGATTGCGCCATCCTTGATCGGGTGCATGAGAACCGTGGCTGCGGCTGCCGTTTGTGGGTGAAGGGATGAGGAGGCGCTGCCGCTCGTCGACCATCTTGCCACCGCATCATCATCGTCACATCACAACACAACACAGAAGAACAACAAGCCGAAACACGTTACGCTACAAGGTTACGTTCTTTTGTCTTTCACTCGGACTAGACCTTTTTTAGCTCTTTTGTTCTTTATGTTGTTCGTCTGCTCTCACTCTCGCTTCTTTGCTGACAACAGCCCTCCTTCCTTCCCGAAGAAGGTGCGGTGCAGCCAGTTGGTCTATGGTTCAAACCCAAAAAATTATCCTCAAATGATTCTACAAAAAAGAAAAACAAAAACTCCCCCTTTGAGGTTTACATGTGCATGCATAGCCAACCTTATCCATTTGGTGCTTTTTGTATGAAAGTTGAATGACCTCTCGAATATGAAGAAAAGATGACAAGCTCGGCTCGATTCACATAGAGTCGTCTCTATTGCAGCGACGACCTCTGACCTGCTTCTTAAGGGAAGAAAGCTTCAAAGTTGGGGGCACCGGCCACTCAATGGTCAAGAAAAGCCTATGGACCCGGATGTGGACCGTTTCCAATTGGCAAGAAGATGTCTGCTCAAGCTTGATCCGCAGCCTGGGTCTCGCGCTCCCACAAGGCGACAAAGCGCGCAAAGGCCCGCGGAATGACCTCGTTAGCGTCCCAGCCCAAGGAAGTGGCCACGCTCGAGGTCATGCCAATCACGTCCGAAAGCGTTTGTGGCCGTGAGGAAATCCAGTGCGCGGCGCTGCGCTCCCCCGTCGGTGTGCTGTTGGTTGCATTGGTGTAGCACGGCTTATCCCAGGGCTGTGTGCTGCAGCATGGTCCAGCCAGCATGTCCAGCTTCTGCAGCTCCGGGTCGGGAATGTTTGCCAGTCCATCAACGACGCGCTGATATTCAGCCAACAAAGAGTCAACCAAGACGGCATGGGCCGACACGTTGAGGGCCATCTTCTCCCCGGGGTCCACCAGCAGATCAAACACCAACGGTGGTTCAGCCGCTTGAGGCGGTTCGTCGCAATAGGCACACCGTGTGAAACGATGCAGTTTGTATCGTCCCCGTCTGCGATTAGAGCAGCGCAGATCCCGGGCACGGACAAAAGTCAACCCATGAGCGACAAGGCGCATGGCGATCACGTGCGAGTGCGACTTGGATGAGCGAGCGTTGGAGGGACTTACCGCAGAGCCATCACGGTGCGGCCATACATGTAGATGACCGACTTGTTGGCATCCTCGTACGTCGTGTTGACCAGCTATCATCAACCCAGCCCTTTTGTCAGTCAGAGCATCCCACATGGACCAACAGAACAAGCGACCACCTCCTCTGTCTGACATGTGCCGTGCTCCGATAGAAACACACACACACACACACACACACACCTGCTGCGCAAAGCTAGTGCCATCAAGATCCAAGGGCACGGCATCCTGCTTCACGCCCGCCAGCTCAGCAAATGTAGGCACAATGTCCAAGTGGGAAAATACATTGTAGTTGATAGAGGCCACGGGCACGTGAGCGGGCCACCGCACCATGGTTGGCACGCGTAGACCACCCTCCCAGGTGGTGCCCTAGAATCACGTTGCCGGACACAGGTGGTGAGAGACATGGGTCATTGAAATGAAAGTACGAAGATAAAAGTCAAATGCGTGCCACATTCTGAATCCTTCAACGAAAAAAAAAAAAAAAAATTCTAACCTTGCCACCAGTAAAGGGTCCCGGTGAGCCACCATGCGTCTGCTCCTGAACCCAGGGCCCGTTGTCACTGCACCAACGATGCACGCATTCCAATGTGTCGGTGAACCAGAGCCGAAGGCGTCATCACTCGTCACACCAGAACACACACACACACACACACACACACACACACACACACACACACACACAAGCAGTAGCCGTCACATGCTACGATCACAGCCCACTGACCTGGAGAAGAGTACCACCGTATTTTGCGTCAGGTTGAGTTGATCCAGTGTTTCAAGAATACGACCCACGCTGGCATCCATCTCTTGAACCGAGTCACCGTAAATGCCACGCAGTGACGTGTTCCGGAAACGTGGAGCGGGGTGTTGTGGCACGTGAGGCTGGTAGTACGTCATCATCAGCAGAAAAGGGTCCGAGTCCTGTTGTCGTGCCTGCAAAAAGTCGATGCCCTGCTCCGTCATTTGGTCCGTGAGTGTGTCAAAGCTAGCTGGCTGCTCAATAATTTCCTCGTTATGGTACAGAGGAATAGGAGGAATGACTCGATTCAGAATTGGCACATCCGCAAAGCCGCCTACAGAGCAAGCGTGCTGTGTCAGAGCTGTATCCCAAGTCACGGGAGAATCAGAGGCGTTGTCGACGTACCAGTTACGGCGTCCACTGCAGAAAAAACGATTTGAGAAAAGACATCCATTTTTTTTTTTTTCAGACCGAATTCGGGCAAACAAGGAACAAAGCATGCCGTGAGCCGGTAAGATGGAGTAGCATCGTGCCGATGCACGAGGCAAGACACTCTTCGTCACGCACTGTCATTTGAATAAGGGATGCCATAGAACTCATCCCAGCCACGCTGGGTGGGCAATGAATGTTTGTGCCCCTGTCAGCGTCGCGCAAGCGTAATGAGCGGTGCCACGTCCTGGCAGAACGACCCAACGTGCCCGTTTATCACAAGCGCAGTTCACAGTACGCACCAGATGCCACTTGCCCACCAGCTTGCTGCGATAAGGTTTGGGGGCCTTCTTCAAAACAGCGGGCAGTGTGGTGCGGTTGGGCAAACCACCATCGGAGAACGAAAAGAACACACGCAGCTGAGGCCGCAGAATGTCGGTGTAGATACCATCTCGCGCAGCAACACGCCCGGTCATGATGCCACTTCGTGAGGGCGTGCACACCGATGCACTGGCATAAGCCTGCTTTAGAATCGAACCTATGAGGGCACAAATGAAGCCAAAAGCGCGGGCGTGCGTGAGTTTGAAGAACTGTCAAGCTGGCCATCCTGCAGCTGAGAGGGCACAAGCGTGGGTCGACAGCACCAACCCTCGCGGCCAAGGCGATCAATATGAGGCTACGCGCAACCATTACAAGGTAAGACAGTGTGAGGACATGCCCCTGTCATGGGCCAGCCTTGCCTCCTCCAGAGCCGAGGCATGGGGGCCGTAGTGAAGCACAACTTGGCGCACGTGCAGGCGACCGTCACTGGGCTGGCGCAGGCGTACCGTGTAGATGGAAGGACTGCCAAAGAGGCTCACGTCTTCATAGCTGTGGGGCAAGCACAGGGGTGTTATACAGAATGAGCTGGGTGCATGGAGAACCCACGGCCATGGCGACGTCGGTGGGTTCGTAGAGGAGGCAGGACGAGAGGGGCGCTGAACAAACCCAAGGTCGTCAGCCAGCAAGATGACAAAGTTGGGCGGATGGCCGCCAAAGCCACTGGCACTGGCACAAGCCAGGAGCACGGCGCCAATCAAGGCTGTGGCAACGGGAAGCGACATGTTTATGGCAGGGCTTGATGTGACACAAGACCGAGGCATGAAATTGACTACTCCTGGCTCGAGAAAGAGCTGGTTGTGCAGGAGGAAAATGCCACCGTTGGTATGGTTTCAAATACGGGTGGCTACAACTCAAGCTTGTCGTCGGCCCACCGATCTTGCACGCGCTGTCTAGGCGAAGATGGAGGCGGAGGTGGTGCGCACAGGTGCACATGCACACATGGGAGGCTGAAGAAAGAGCTCCAACGCTACGACCAAGAATGAACGTCCTTCGGCCTCGTGAAAAAATTGGTCCCATTTCATTGACTGCACGCGTAAGACCGTTTCGTCCTCTTTTTCCTTTTTGCAAGTTGTGTGAAGAATGTTGTACATGTGCATGATAGTGTGTGTGTGTGTGTGTGTGTGTGTGTGTGTGTGTGTGTGTGTGTGTGTGTGTGTGTGTGTGTGTGTGTGTGTGTGTGTGTGTGTGTGTGTGTGTGTGTGTGTGTGTGTGTGTGTGTGTGTGTGTGTGTGTGTGTTATCTGTCTGTCTGCCTGTGCTCTCCGTGTCTCCCCGTGTCTTTCCATGTCGGTCTGTATCTGTTTACATGTTAGTGTGCACACACATTTGCCTCGCCTGTGTCTCGGTTCTTGCGACAAATACGCTCAGCAAGCACCATGGCGAGCATCATGAATTGAAGCGCGTTGGCTCACAGAGCCACCAGAACGCGCGCGTGCCCAGAATCTCACATCCCAGTGCTTGGATGACGAAAGAAACAAGGTTGAAGAGGAAAAGAGGTCCTCACTGCTGGCATATGCATGGCCATTACCAAAACGGGGTCCAGGAGCTACCATCCGCCGGAAGCAGCTCCCCACTGATGAGCAGAGCCACATCGACGATCCACCACACCCCAAATCCACCTACATCATCAAAAAGAAGAATGGTGCGCCCAGACGAGAGGCCACCATGTCAGCCAATGCATGATGATTCGAAAGGCCTTCCTTGCCAGCCTCACCCAAAGTCAAGAGCTTGCCTACGCCCGTCCCAGTTAGGCCAAGATAGAAGCGATCGGTTCCAAGAATCCTGCCATTGGTAGTCAAAGTCAGAAGGTGATATCCAGGTCGAGAGAAACCAGTGCTTGATTCATTCATGCAAAGCAGCAGGCGACTCGAGGGGCCATACCCCAGAAAAATGCTCAGGAAGAGGGTCGTGACAAACGATTTGCCGCCATAGCTAACCGCGACGCAGGAACAAGAAGAAGGGGGCGTGAGGGACGTGCGTTGAACAACCGTGGGCGCGCTCGCGCAATTAATCCCGACTCGCACGATGAAACCTCACAAGATACAAGGCACATCGGTCTTGACAAAAGCTCGATCTGTGGTTGGCGAGACTGCGCAACCCTCAAACGGGGCCGGGCCTATCAGAATTCAGTCAACGTTGTACCCGGTTCGTAAGCATACGGCGGGCGATTTGGGCAAGGATGGGCATTTGTCAAAGTGGAGCTTGCATGGCAAATCCACGGACGCACCGTAACAAGTCACGTTTGGCAAAACGCGACACGTCATATTGGTCGTGGTCAGTTCGTCATGCTGCGCTGGGTGAAACTGGGCCCGAACAAGTTTGCAGGGCGTGGGACCACCATCATGGTTGCAATCAATGAGTGTAAGGCCTTGGAGCACTGGTTTGAGAAGCAGGACTGAAGGCAAATCATCATCTTAATGAGACGAGTGCATCTCACTTTGCAGCCTGGAGACGACGCGTTGACCTTGTCGCACAGAAGAAACTCGATCGGACTGCCAACAGACGGACAGGGACGTGAGACGAGCAGCGTCAAAACATCTTCTCACACCAACTTTTGTGTGGGATCAGGGTGACAAGTTGACGCACAGCAGCTCGCAGGGCACACAGGGATTGTTGGCGTCAAAGGCCACAGCAAAGGAGCCCTGAGTGATCGGTCCGCCGGGAGTTGTGTTCGCAAGGCCTGTCGTGGCTATCGTCGTTGCCGACGTTGGCAACGTTGCCGTCGCGTTCAGCGTTGTTGTCCAGCTTGTGCTTGCCTCTACCGTTGAGCTGACCATCGTAGAACTGCTAGCGTGCGTCGAGACAGTGCTCTCGGCGCTTGTCGTGTTGGCATCAGTTGGCGTCGTCGACGTGGTCCATTCGGCTGTTGTCGTGACTGGACTGTTGCTGCTGGTTGATCCGCTCTGTCCCCAGACGATTGGTACCAGACAAGCCGCCATCAATGCCAACTGCATGCTCTGCCAATCACCCCTTTCCACAGACCGCCGGCCGTCATTCCGACGTGCTCGAGTTCCCCTCATCGAGCTTGTGTGTGTGTGTGTGTGTGTGTGTGTGTGTGTGTGTGTCGTCTTGTTCCTTGAAATGCAATATCCCTCTCTTTTTTTGCACACCCTCTTCCTTAAAATCAACTTTTTTTTCGTTTTTTCAATTTTAATTTTTTCGTTTTCACTTTTTTTTTTTTTTTTTTTTTTTTGGAATTTCTTGCTGGATCGCGCAGCAAAAGGGCGGCGGTGCCTCTTCGATCAGCTCGACACTGGTAGCGTGGTTGTGACGGCAGAGGGTGGCAGTATACTTTTATTCCTTGCGAGCGTGACTGGGCGGAAAATGGCAGATCATGCTAGCCGGCTCAAGGAGCTGGAACAGCAGGTAGGCGTTTGGACGGCCTGAAATAAAATTGCGCACTCCTCTTGGCGCGCTGACCGGCTCACGGGCATAACTACTAGGTTGCTCGCTTACATCAGCGGAATGCGCAACTCGAAACACAATTGAGCGCCCGGATTTCTCCGCGCTCCTCCACGAGCACAGTCTCATCGCAACCAGAGCAAAAAGCCAAACCAAATCAAAACTACTTTGTGGCCGCCCATGCTCCCGATCCGTCCGACGGAGATGACTTGGACGTTGACTTTCCCTCCGACTCGGAACTGAATGAGAGCTTGCAAGAAGCCGCCGCTGACCGTGCTGAGGCTTTGAGCTTGGGGCCTGATAGCTGGTACGTGGGCCGTCGATGGCTGCAAGTTTGATCTGCCAATTCCTCACGCCATGTCTCTACATGCACCCATGCCCCATTAACCCGTTGGCACTCGCAGGCTGGTCAAATCACCAGCGCGCATGCGCTCGACACTGTCATCAAAGGACTGGCTGGGTGCAGAGCGTGCGCGCGACGAATTGGCCGATGTTATGCGCAAGCTTTCTTTTTTTGACGATGACGATCGCAGCGACACGACGGAACTCAATCGCTCCTGGGCTGGCACCCTACCCGCCCATGACCTCATGAGTAGTGACGGTCCTCGCTTGCACCGCTCCTTTGAAGCTCGGCGACACTCCAGCGACGCTGCATTGGGCCTTCGAGGTGTGAGGCTTATCGTTGTCAATGTCCTCTTCACGGAGATGCAGAGTCCAGGCATGCCCCGTCATACGGCTTTTCTCACCCACACCCTGCTGGATCACCTGCTCTAGCGCGTGCCGCTGCCGCGGAAGAGTTTGGCTCCCCCAGCAATTCACCCCTTTCCAGGCCCCATGCTGCATCGGTGTCCGGAGCGGCCTATCCCGATGATTTTGCACGTGTGGATGGCTACGTTCACGAGCCCAGTCCACACCGTGTGCTTCGCAAACATGAGCGAGATGCTGGTCAGTTGTCCCTTGTGACCCGAACAGAGCCTACCCTCATCGCATCAATCTGACCACCACGGTACAATTTGTCTCGCAGGCGTGCCCAAGAAAGTTTTGCCTGCAACGGTTGTCAGGTCAAACCCCTCTAGTCCCACCGTATCCCGGGCCCGCAAGACCATGCTCACTGTCCCCAACACGAGCGTTTTATAGTCGTTTAGGCGCATCACAATTCCGGGGTTCACCACCCATTTTTGGTCTGATTTCGGGTATTTTTTTCTCCTTTCTTGCTTTTTTTCTTCTTTTTTCCTGGACTTTGTTTCTTGCTCGTCCTCTTTGCATGCCCAGGATTGGCCGTCCATGAGTAGAGGATGCGGTGCCGGTTCAGCCACGACGCAAAGCGTCGTGACAAATTAATGAACAAACTTCTTTTTTTTTTTTAAAAAAAAAAATAATTGTTTCTTGTCTTTTACTCTTCTCACATGTGAATCATAAAAGTTTACGCTCAAATTTACCAACGTCCTGCACTGTACTCTGGTTGCAATTCCTATTCCGCTCACGAAAAGGAAAAGAAAACATCATTTGCAAATCAATTTCTACAGTCAGTCTTGTATTTCCCCTCGGTTGGACACGGGAGGGCATCAAGCAGATTTCTTTCGCTCCTTGCTAGCAAGCAGCGGTCCAGAATCAACTCAGGAAGCGAACGGCCAGACTCAGGATCATGTGTCGCAAACTACTGGAACGTGCTCCCTCGTGGATGCACGGCCCACAGTAATCCGCGGCCAAGTCAGCGGGGCCACTATACGCTGGTTGAGAACATGCTGTCTAATTTCATGCGCGTTGAGCTGTTGTGCTGCTGTTCCAACAGCATGCGCTGCAGGCTGTGTTGTGACGTGGAGTTGGCCAAGGCCCCCGGACTGCCTGAGACAGATGGGGTGCGCGTGCGCGGCCGCAGGGGCGAGTTTATGCTGGAACGCGAATCACCTCGCGATAGTGCAGGTTCCGACTGCAGTACAGTCTGCAACTGCTGACGCAGCTGCACGTTCTCGTGCACTACTGCATCGTGACGCTGCAACAGAATCTGGTAGCGCATTTTCATCTGTTCCAGAAGAGTCTGCATGCCATTCAACTTGAGCTGCATGTCCTGGCTAGCCTCCACCTCAACCATGGTGTCATTCGGGCTTTGTGGGACCTCATCTACGGAGCGCGCCGAGAGGCTATCACCGTGGCTCGAGCCTCGCTGCAACCGAACAGGCGTGCTTCGTTGCTCCACGTAATTGGAGGCATCTGATATAGCGCTGAGCAAGGCATCCGAGGACCACATACGGGCCTTTCCCGGGACACGCGCAGGCACAGCACCTTCTGTTCGAGGGTACACGGCAAAAGCTTGCGGCGAGGAGCCAATACTGTCAGTGCTCGGCCGCACCCCGCGGCCAGCGCGAGGCGTGCGTTCCAGCTGCTTCAACACACTCGGGAGGCGCTCTGCAGCCGTTTCCTCCTGCGGCTCGTACTGACGCATCACAGTGTCCTTGTCCTCCGGGCCGCCAAAGAGTAAGACGTGGAGTTGCCGCGAATGAAAGTCTGCCACACGGGCCAAACGCTCAGATGGGATACTCAGCGGGCTGAAATCGTTGAGGCGGAAGATGCTCTGGCCCGTGCGGAGCCCTGCCAATGCAGCCGGTGAATTGGGCGCCACTGTCACAATTTTCTTGTCCAAAAGTTCAAAGCCCCATGGCTGCAGTCCATGGTCACGCGTCAGCATCACACTGATAATTGCCGTGCCCCCGCTTCGCCCCTTGAGCTGCAGGTTCCCGACAAACACATGCGATGGTTAGGGCAAAGTGTGAAAGCCGAGTAGCTGGTGATGCCATCGACTTGTCTTACCGTGGCTACGATGGTTTCATAATCGCTGCCTTCACACAAGATATCCGATGCCGACTCGTTCCGATTGTACCACAGGCGAAGACCGTCTTGCAACCGAGACCAGCCAATTACAGTGTCGTAAGGGATTTGATGGATCATGGCCTGGGTGCTCTCGCGCACGACCAAGATCATCGTGGGCAAAAACGCGAGCCAGCTCGAAGTGGGCTCCTGCAATTTCTCGCACCATCAGTAAATGGTCATGGCCATCGTTGAGTTGAAAGTGGCAGGGTTGAGTCGGGCCAGGCATTAGCAGCGCAGAGCTGGTGCGGCCATGTCTCACCGTGTTCTCATCTCGTATTTTGAGCGTGAAGAGCGGATTGTCTCCAATATATTGCAGGTAAAAGCCCTCTGGCTTTCGTCGGCCCATGGACATGAGCTTGGCTAGCGCTGCGCATGTGTCACAAGGCAGCGTGGGGTGAGTTGGGTCGACGAAGGCACTTCTACACAACCACCAAGCAAGCCCACAATGGAGAGGGGTTTGCCAAGTAGGCCGGGCATTGAACGCTCGCTATGAACTCACAGCCTTTGCGCACAAACGAGGCCACAACAAGTTCACTGCTGTACTGTTGCACGAGGTTGTCCAGCATCATCGAACGAGTGCGGCTAGCAAGCTTGAGAAATTGGCCGGCCACGTAGCAAGCCCGCTCCATGTTGATGGCTGAGAAAACAGGAGAGGGGTGCGTGAGGTCGACAAAGGCGAGAAGTTTATCATCGGAGTTGAAATTGACGTGTGAAGTCGTGCGAGGCACTCAGATCAGCCCACAAGATCAATCGGCGACTGACCTTTACGTAACAAAAACTGTTTGAACTCGCCGCTGGCAATGGCCTCCATGTCAAAGGTGGCATCTGGCGGCAAATCAGGCAGCACTGTGCATACATCCCCTTTTCGTACCACTGCAATGTGATACCGCATCTCAGGCGTGTTGGCATTTTTCACCTGTGATCACCAGAGCATTCCCCCCGCATGTTGAGCAAAGTGAGCAATTGTGCGTCATCTTGTTGTGTACATGAGCATGCCAAGAAGGCACAAAACGAGGGTCAGGCGAGCATCGAGGGTGGAGGGCTGACAAGGGTGTCAAGACATACGCGAACGAGGATGAACACGTGCTGATAGTGCGAGGAGAAGGACGCGGGGTCAAATGGCGCGGCATCCTCTTCCTGGAAGACAACGGTGACAATGTCGTTTCCTAGTACGCGCCGCACCCAGCAAATATTGCGTTGAGTCGGATCAGCGAGCAATAAGACGCATAGACAAGGGCATGGCGAAGTAGACACCGTACCAATGTGTCGCTTGCGAAGCACCTGCTGCTCATCATCCTCAGAAAACGGCAACTCAGTTGCCACGTGTAACATGACCTCACATCCCTGAAAAGGCGTATAAAACGTCTTTGTGCCCGTTTGGTTCTCTGTCGTCACAGGAGGCAGAAGGAAGCAGCAGCCATGAGGCTGAAAAAGAGCCAGCAAAAAAGTTGGTCGCCAAGAATCTTGCAAGCACCATGCAGGCATGCGACGATGCGCACCAGCCACGTCGAGGCCGCCAGCAAAACCGGTGAAGCCACGAAGAGTAACGCGGTGGGCTATAGTGCGCAAAAAGCTTTCGTAGGCATCGCTGCCCCCGCGGTTGTTATACATGTGAGCCTCTGTACTCTGATCCTTGGCTTGGTAAAGAACACCAAACTTGTACTTGTGTGGCTGGTTGCTCTGCAGTCAGCCAAGCCGAGGCATGGGCGGACAAGGCAAAAAGGCCACAACAGGGCGTAGCAGAGCAGGGGCAAGAGAGAAGCGAAACACACGGATGGTAAGCAAGGCGCAGGAAGGAGAGACAAGGGCGAAGAAAAAGACATAAAGAGGAAGGAAAAGAAGACGAGCAGGAGAAGAGGAAAAAGAAGAAAGAACAAGAGGAGGAGGAAGAAGGGGGATAGCCATCAGGCAATTGCATACGTTGCACTCATCCATCTTGAGAATGTCCTGACTCAAATTATCGTCAAGTTTCGCGACGCAGAGTGAGCCGGCAACGGTTGCGTCATCCAACAACCGACTCAAGACGTCCTGCAGGCCATGCACGGAAACGGATGGTTACACCCAAGCGCAGGTATTGTCGAATGCGACACAGGATTGCCAGCCACTTGCACTCTGGGCCATACATGGCTTTGGGCAACTGACCTTGGTGTTGGGGGTGGCTTTGCTCTCGAAGCGGTCTGTGTCCAGTTCATTCAGGCTATTCGAGGGCAAGATCTCTGACTCTGGAATTAAGAGTCGCGTCACTCCGTTCTGACGCGGCAGATCAACAGCGTGGAATTCAAGCAGGTCAGGTAACCAACTCTCTGCCAAATTTGTGCGCCCACGTGGCGTGCACATGCAGATGTCGCACATCTCTCAGACCTTGGTTGTTCGGACGATGGCTCGATAGTGGACGGTACGGCGCAAGCGCGTGAGTTGACCCGACTCCTCCGACTCGAGGATGGCAACCGCTTCTCGCCGCAGGGACACGGCAATTGCGCCCAGCGACTCAGTTCGTCCGAGATAGGTGATATGGTCTTCACAATGTCAAGGAACAAAAAAAGGACAGCGGGGTTTGTCAGCGGGGTTTGTCAGGATGTTCGCTGAGCAGGGTATACAGCGTTGACATGTCATTTGCACTCACCCTGGCCTAAAAACTGATCGCGGAAGAAACGGGCACCGGGATCGGCGCTTTGCAAACCATTGCCAATGTTGCCCATGGGAAAGATGCGCGGAATCCTTTGACCTGGAGATAGAGAGACAAATCGGGCGGCATTGAGGGGCATTCATGCGGCCAAACGAGAGTAGTGCAGTCCGAGCGAATGAGAGCAAGGGCCATGGGAACCACGCACTGGTGTTGGGGCCAACGGTTTCCAAGCACCATCCTTGAGCACTCTTAACAAGCGAGTTGGCAGGGTCGGAGCTATTGCCAATTTGAGGCGCTAGGCGAAATTGTCCGCAGCCGGACGACCCCGGATAGGATGAGACACCGCCGATAGCAAAGCATGGGATAAAAAGCGAGTAGAGCACAGGGATTCGTACCGACGATGCCACGATCTGTAACCTTGTCAAAAATGATACAAGCATGTTCCAAAGGTAAAAGGCCCGGCATGCTGATCGAAGCAGTGCCTGCCTCGCTGCCGCCGGGGACGTCCGTGCCGCGACGGCGGAGCCAAGCTAAAATCATAGGTCAGATCATGAAGGAAAGGCGGTGCAGGAGAGCATTGGCTGGCCTGTAGATGAGTTGTTGCATATGCGAGGTCCGTGACATACTTTTGCTGCGCTCGCGGGCAAGTAGAGTGTCTTTCTGTGCCGGGTCTGCTGTGGATTCGCCAAGGCGAGGTGGCAAAACCGAGGGGCCTTGATGTGAGCGACCTCATTTACGTGGGGGTCTGAACAGCTGTTGGCGATTGATGCACCAACCGATATCTGTTGGAGTCAGTGTGAGGTTGATGGGTGGGGTGGCGCGACTGCGCTGGTCATTGAGGCGGTTGCTTTGCGTGACGCTGAGCAAGGTGATCAAATCTGGCCCTCCCGAGCCATCGTGTACCAGATACGTGCTCGCGGGGGCCGGTGTCATGGCTGGGCCTGCAGATAAGGGGGCGGCGTATGCACACGGTGTGATGAGGCCGGCACTTGAGTGAGGTCCAGGGAAGGGCTCTGAGGTTGGCTGAGAAAAAAAAAAGGGCAATTTGCATGCGCGAGACCATACCGGTTGTTGGTGTGGCTGGCGGATGGGCGATGGGTTGCTCGCCGATAACGGGACTGGACGTGGAGTCACGATTGGAGCCGGAACGGGTGCCAACCGAGCTCATGATGGTCTGGTGACGCGCAGCATGCAGTAAACGCCTTTTGGAGCCAACGAGGGCAAACCGCGCTGCTTCATGCACGCACACATGCACGTCAAACCAGGCGACAGCTCTTGTCACCACCAAAGCAAGCGATTCCTGTCCAAATCACGGCCGATGGCCGTGGAGCGCAAAGGCAACCGTCGTCCCAGGCACGCGATGATGGTGCGAGTTAGTCAGTCAGCCGTTCAACGGCGCAGCAGTTGTCCACACCCAGCCTCTGTTTCGCGCACACACACGCAACGAGGCACCCAGCAATGGCACCCCACTCCCACCGTTGTTGCACTGGGGTGTGTGTATCCTGCACCAACGGCATCGATCAAAGAGTGGTCAGGCCTAGCAATCTCCAGACCCGATGGGGTCGAACGCCCGCTCACTCGTGAACGAAGAGAGAGAGAGAGAGAGAGAGAGAGAGAGAGAGAGAGAGAGAGAGAGAGAGAGAGAGAGAGAGAGAGAGAGAGAGAGAGAGAGAGAGAGAGAGAGAGAGAGAGAGAGAGAGAGAGAGAGAGAGAGAGACAGAGAGACAGAGAGACAGAGAGACAGAGAGAGACAGAGACAGAGAGAGACAGAGACAGAGAGACAGAGACAGAGACAGAGACAGAGACAGAGACAGAGACAGAGAGACAGAGACAGAGAGAGAGAAACAAAAAAACAAAAAACAAACAGCCAAAGCAGTCAGTCATCCCATAGTGGTCTGCTGCCATAGGATTTTGCCAGATGGCAACCTGCCTGAGTGGTGCGTCGAGGGCTGGCCCGATTGGAGGCAAACCAGCGCGATCATCGGTCGTCATCTTAGTCTCAGCAAGTCTCCTCAGCCCGTCTCAACGTGTGACTCGGCTGCCAAACCCAGCAAGCCACGATTTCCAACACACGTCCAGTCGCAGCGCAACCGACAAGGCAAAACGCAAAAACGGTAACAGGGCGTATCAAGCCGAGCTGATGTGCCACAAAAGTCACACTTCCGCAACTCCGTTGACAACATCTCTCAAAAAAGCAAAAAAAAAAGAAAAAAAAAGCGAAACACACACACACACACACACACACACACACTCGCGCGCTCGCTCTCGTTCTCGTGCGCTCGCTCTCTCGCTCTCGTTCGCGCGCTCGCTCTTGCTCTCGTTCGCGCGCTCGCTCTTGCTCTCGTTCTCGTTCTCGCGCGCTCGCTCACTTCGAGGGCGAAAGCACATTCGAAAAGAGGGCCGGGGTTCTGGATAAGCCCCCGAGGTTGGTTTGCTTC